AGGCCAGAAGGTCGTGGGTTCAATTCCCACCTCTGCACCTTCTCCACCGACTCCCACTGACTGCTGTCGTTGTGTCCTTGGGCAAGACACTTAACCCCACTTTGCCCAAAGCCCCCACTGGAAGATCTCAGCTCCTGTGGACTCACCACCTGCAGAGGGTCAGTGAGGGGCTGGTGCTATGAGACTTGGGTGCATCTCTGACTGCCACCCCCCTGACCCAGAAATGGATTAAAGGGTAGAAAATGGATGGATGGATGGATCCACAGAAACCCAAAAATGAACCAATATTTCAATCTTGCATTAAAAAACATCCCTCGTTATTTGTTTTTTAAATGTTGGTTTTATTTAGAAAATCAAATGAACGGATGATACCTGGGTTATTTCCTTGTTCTATTGACAGATTGTTTTTATTGATATTTTAGCAGCATTTTACTAATTTTTCATATATTTTTCTCTGATTTTCCAAGAGTTTTTCCAGTGGCTCTGTACATAAAAGGCAGAAGTAGGAGATGATATAACCATAGATAGAACACAGATCCAGGTCTCTCAGATGTTAAAGCTGAGTGCTCTGTCACTTAGCACGGTCTCTCTAATGTGTGTGTGTGTGTGTGTGTGTGTGTGTGTCTGTGTCTGTCTGTGTGTGTTTATGTGTGTGTGTGTGTGTGTGTGTGTGTGTCTGTGTGTGTGTGTGTGTGTGTGTGTGTGTGTGTGTGTGTGTGTGTGTGTGTGTGTGTGTGTGTGTGTGTGTGTGTGTCTGTGTGTGTGTCTGTGTGTGTGTGTGTGTGTGTGTGTGTGTGTCTGTGTGTGTGTTTGTGTGTCTGTGTGTGTGTGTGTGTGTGTGTCTCTGTGTGTGTGTGTGTTTATGTGTGTGTGTGTGTGTGTAGAGCTAAATCAGGATAAGTGTTGTGAGTGGAATAATAGCGCTGATTGCCGATATCAGAGGCAGATGTCTGTGAAAGACTCTGAACTCTGTAAGTAAGTAAGCTTTTATTTTATATACCGCCTTTTCACTGCACATCGGAGTCTCAAAGCGGTTTACAATTGTTATTTTTTTGGAAGTGGGGGTGCCAGTACAGGAGGCACATGCCAGACCTATTGTACATATTTTTAGTGGTAGGGGAAACCGGAGCAACCGGAGGAAACCTACGCAGACACGGGGAGAACATGCAAACTCCACTCAGAAAGGCCCTGGTCCAACCGGGATTTGAACCCAGGACCTTCTTGCTGAGAGGCGAGAGTGCTATCCACTCAGCCACCGTGCCGCCCTCTGTGTTATCCATTTAGTCCTTTATGTTTAATTATTGTGGCACATGTCTCTCTCTGGTCTCTCGCCAGTCTCTTTGGTGATTCTGGTCTCTATCTGGTCTCTTTCCCTCTCTGGTCTCTCTCTTTGGTCTCTCTGTCTTCTCTCTGGCCTCTCTGTGCTCTCTTTAGTCTCTTTTTCTGGTCTCTCTCTCTTTCTGGTTTCTCTTGTCTCTCTCTGGTCTCTCTCAGACATCTTGGAGAGACCAGGGACAGACATCTTGGAGAGACCAGAGGCAGACATCTTAGAGAGACCAGAGGCAGACATCTTGAAGAGACCAGAGGCAGACATCTTAGAGAGACCAGAGGCAGACATCTTGGAGAGACCAGGGCAGACATCTTGGAGAGACCAGAGGCAGATATCTTGGAGAGACCAGGGCAGACATCTTGGAGAGACCAGGGCAGACATCTTGGAGAGACCAGGGCAGACATCTTGGAGAGACCAGGGGCAGACATCTTGGAGAGACCAGGGCAGACATCTTGGAGAGACCAGAGGTTGATATCTTGGAGAGACCAGGGGTAGACATCTTGGAGAGACCAGAGACTTGATCCTGACCCCCAGACCTTTAGTTCTGTGGTTTCTTCAGTCCTTTCTGTCTCTGTGGGGGTTCCCTCTCAGCCTCAGGTGCCCGGGTGTATTCTGTCCTCGTTACTGCTGCTAAATCCTGGTTTTTGAGCCGCTGTGTTGTGGGGAGTCACGCGTTTGAAGAGGTAATTGTTGCATGACTGTTCATTTTTCGCTTCTCGAGGGATGACTCAAACTTCCACATTGGGCTCTGACATAACAGCGAGTGCAGAGGTGTTCTCGCTTTTACATTACATTAGGAAATATTCTTTGTGATGCTTCCTCTTTGTATCCACCTGAAACAAGAGAAAGACCATTCGCAAAAACAGATTTGGATTAGGGTTAGAACAAGAGAGAGACAAACAAGACAGAGAGAGAGAGACTAGAGAGAGACCAGGGAGAGAAACCAGAGAGTGAGAGAAACTAAAGAGACAAATCCAGAGAGAGAGACTAGAGATAGAAACCAGAGAGACTAGAGAGAGAGAGAGAGACTAGAGAGACAAACAAGAGAGAGAGAGAGACTAGAGAGAGAGAGAGAGAGAGAGAGAGACTAGAGAGACAAACAAGAGAGAGAGAGACTAGAGATAGAAACCAGAGAGACTAGAGAGAGAGAGAGAGAGAGACTAGAGAGACAAACGAGAGAGAGAGAGACTAGAGAGACAAACGAGAAAGAGAGACTAGAGAGAAAAACAAAAGAGAGAGAGACTAGAGAGACAAACTAGAGAGAGAGAGAGACTAGAGAGAGAGAGAGAGACTAGAGAGAGAAACCAGAGAGAGACACTAGAGAGATAAATAAGAAGGGGACCATCTGAGAGAGAGAGAGAGAGAGAGAGAGAGAGACTAGAGAGAGACTAGAGAGAGACAGAGAGAGACAGAGAGAGGGAGAGAGACTATGCTATTGTATATGAGCATAGAAGTACAGAGTGTACAAAGAAGCTTTTTTTTTATGTATTATGAACTGCCATGACACTGGATTTGACAACAAAGTTCAAAATATAAAAAGATTGAAATTGAAAATGATAAAATAAATCTCTATCTTTAACATAACAAAGAAGCCAGTTAATAATCCTGTATCCAGTTTGTTTCCATCTGTGCATCAGCAGCAGGAGGCTCCCAGACTCAGTGAAGAGACTTTCTGACATGATTCAGATTATTATATTATTATATTTAATCTCTCACTGTCGTGGTGTGGACATTTTGACCTGGTTTTGTTCTGCCACATATTTGATCCACCTGAGTGTCCCCGTGTGTGTACATACCCTGTGCCTTTCCTCACCTCACGTCCATTGTCTCTACCACGTTTGTCTTGTCTAGTTTTTCAGTTCTGGATCTTTGTGCTTTTTGTCACTCTGGATTTTGATTTCATTAAACTACATTTGATTTTTCAGTCTTGCATTTTGGGTTCCTCCTTCATGCATCTCACAACGTGACACTCACAGTGATACCATCTGTACTTTTATATATGTTTAAAGTGACCTGGTCTGTTATGAGGATGCAGACCTGTGTGTGTGTGTGTCTGTGTGTTAGTGTTTGTGTGTGTGTGTCTTTGTGTTAGTGTGTCTGTGTGTATATGTGTGTGTGTATTTGTGTGTGTGTGTGAGTGTGTCTGTGTGTATATATGTACAGTAAGTATATATGTATGTATGTGCACTTGGTGACCTCTTTTTGCGTGTCTTTGTAGGAGTGCAGATGTGTGTGTGTGTGTGTGTGTCTCCGCATGCTTGTAAATATGTGCGTGGATGTGTGTGTTTTTGTGTCTTTGTGCGTCTGTGTGTGTGTTTATGCTACTTCCGCCGGGTCTGTTTCCATAGCGACTATGAAAGGATGCCCAAGAATGAGTGGGAAAGCTCTGATGTAATGTGTGTATGTGTGTGTGTGTGTGTGTGTGTGTGTGTGTGTGTGTGTGTGTGTGTGTGTACACGGGTGTGTGTACGTGTGAGTAATTTGTCAGTTTAAACATCTCTTTACGGTCACTGTGTGCGTATGCAGCGGCTCTACACGTCACACGGAGAAAAAACATACACCAAACAAGGAAAAGAAAACTGTGTCCGGCTCCTTTTGACTTCTGCGTAAAAGTAAACTCCTCTCGCTCAGTATCTGTGTCAGCTTTAGGATTACATACTTATTTGTTTGTACAGATGGTGTTTCTGCTGCAGAGATCAATAGAGTTTCTGTGTATCTATGTCAGGACTTTACTTTTTAATGTAGGTCAACAGGAGCCACACTTTGCCCATGAGTTAGCGCGTTAGCATTATCCCTCTCAACCAGGTCTGTCCAAGACGTCTGTCCCCTGGTCTCATTGGTTCATGCTCCTACCATGAACATCCCAAAGATTAGCAGAAGTGTCAGTTCTGGTCAGCTCTGGTTCTCCTGGTCTACTTCAGCTCGACCAGAGGGACATGGGAGCGTTCTGACCAATCAGATCAGAGAGAGAGACAAGAGAGAGAGAAAACAGAAAGAGAGACCAGCGAGGGAGAGACCAGAGAGAGACCTGCCTGGTGGCTGCAGTTTCTTCGGTTGAATCCCCTCCGACCAATCAGAGAGGGTGCACACAATACACTGTTTAGAGTGCGGTAGAGTGCAGTAAAGTGACAATAGCATAAAGTGATGGTTTATGAAGTGTTCAAGAGTCCAACAGCAGAGGGGAAGAAACTGTTCTTGTGGCGGGAGGTTCTAGTCCTGATGGACCGCAGTCTCCTGCCTGAGGGGAGTGGTTGGAATAGTCCATGTGCAGGTGAGAGGGGTCGGCTGTGATACGACCAGCCCGGCCTCGAGCTCGGGCGACGTACAGGTCCTGCAGCGATGGAAGGCTGCGGCCGATCACTTCCTCTGCAGAGCGCACAATGCGCTGTAGTCTCTGTTTGTCCCTGACTGTGGCTCCAGCGAACCACACGGTGATGGAGGTGATGGAGGAGGTGATGTAGGAGGTGATGTAGGAGGTGATGGAGGAGGTGATGGAGGAAGTGATGGAGGAGGTGCAGGAGGAGGTGCAGGAGGAGGTGATGGAGGAGGTGATGGAGGAAGTGATGGTGGAGGTGATGGAGGAGATGGTGGAGGAAGTGATGGAGGAGGTGATGGAGGAGGTGATGGAGGAGGTGATGAGGAGGTGATGGAGGAAGTGATGGAGGAGGTGATGGAGGAAGTGATGGAGGAGGTGATGGAGGAGGTGATGGAGGAAGTGATGGAGGAGGTGCAGGAGGAGGTGCAGGAGGAGGTGATGGAGGAGGTGATGGAGGAAGTGATGGAGGAGGTGCAGGAGGAGGTGCAGGAGGAGGTGATGGAGGAGGTGATGGAGGAAGTGATGGTGGAGGTGATGGAGGAGGTGCAGGAGGAGGTGATGGAGGAGGTGATGGAGGAGGTGATGGAGGAGGTGATGGAGGAGGTGATGAGGAGGTGATGGAGGAAGTGATGGAGGAGGTGCTGGAGGAAGTGATGGAGGAGGTGATGGAGGAGGTGATGGAGGAAGTGATGGAGGAGGTGATGGAGGAGGTGATGGAGGAAGTGATGGAGGAGGTTATGGAGGAGGTGATGGAGGAGGTGATGGAGGAAGTGATGGTGGAGGTGATGGAGGAGGTGATGGAGGAGGGGATGGAGGAAGTGATGGAGGAGGTGATGGAGGAGGGGATGGAGGAGGTGATGGAGGAAGTGATGGAGGAGGTGATGGAGGAGGTGATGGAGGAGGTGATGGAGGAAGTGATGGAGGAGGTGATGGAGGAGGTGATGGAGGAGGTGATGGAGGAGGTGATGGAGGAGGTGATGGAGGAAGTGTTGGAGGAAGTGATGGAGGAGGGGATGGAGGAGGTGATGGAGGAGGTGATGGAGGAGGTGATGTAGGAGGTGATGGAGGAAGTGAGGGAGGAGGTGATGGAGGAAGTGATGGAGGAGGTGATGGAGGAGGTGATCGAGGGAGTGATGGAGGAGGTGATGGAGGAGGTGATGTAGGAGGTGATGGAGGAGGTGATGGAGGAAGTGATGGAGGAGGTGATGAAGGAGGTGATGGAGGAGGTGATGGAGGAAGTGATGGAGGAGGTGATGGAGGAGGGGATGGAGGAGGTGATGGAGAAGGTGATGGAGAAGGTGATGGAGGAAGTGATGGTGGAGGTGCAGGAGGAGGTGATGGAGGAGGTGATGCAGGAAGTGATGAAGGAGGTGATGGAGGAGGTGATGGAGGAAGTGATGGAGGAGGTGATGGAGGAGGTGATGGAGGAGGTGATGGAGGAGGTGATGGAGGAAGTGATGTAGGAGGTGATGGAGGAGGTGATGGAGGAAGTGATGGTGGAGGTGATGGAGGAGGTGATGGAGGAGGTGATGGAGGAGGTGATGGAGGAAGTGATGTAGGAGGTGATGGAGGAGGTGATGGAGGAAGTGATGGTGGAGGTGATGGAGGAGGTGATGGAGGAGGGGATGGAGGAAGTGATGGAGGAGGTGATGGAGGAGGTGATGGAGGAAGTGATGGAGGAGGTGATGGAGGAGGTGATGGATGAAGTGATGGAGGAGGTGATGGAGGAGGTGATGGAGGAGGGGATGGAGGAGGTGATGGAGGAGGTGATGGAGGAAGTGATGGAGGAGGTGATGGAGGAGGTGATGGTGGAGGTGATGGAGGAGGTGATGGAGGAGGTGATGGAGGAGGTGATGGAGGAGGTGGAGGAGGTGATGGAGGAGGTGATGGAGGAAGTGATGGAGGAGGTGATGGAGGAGGTGATGTAGGAGGTGATGGAGGAGGTGATGGAGGAGGTGATGGAGGAAGTGATGGAGGAGGTGATGGAGGAGGTGATGGAGGAAGTGATGGAGGAGGTGATGGAGGAGGTGATGGAGGAAGTGTTGGAGGAAGTGATGGAGGAGGTGCAGGAGGAGGTGATAGTGGAGGTGATGGAGGAAGTGATGGAGGAGGTGCAGGAGGAGGTGATGGAGGAGGTGATGGAGGAAGTGATGGTGGAGGTGATGGAGGAGGTGCAGGAGGAGGTGATGGAGGAGGTGATGGAGGAGGTGATGGAGGAGGTGATGAGGAGGTGATGGAGGAAGTGATGGAGGAGGTGCTGGAGGAAGTGATGGAGGAGGTGATGGAGGAGGTGATGGAGGAAGTGATGGAGGAGGTGATGGAGGAGGTGATGGAGGAAGTGATGGAGGAGGTTTTGGAGGAGGTGATGGAGGAGGTGATGGAGGAAGTGATGGTGGAGGTGATGGAGGAGGTGATGGAGGAGGGGATGGAGGAAGTGATGGAGGAGGTGATGGAGGAGGGGATGGAGGAGGTGATGGAGGAAGTGATGGAGGAGGTGATGGAGGAGGTGATGGAGGAGGTGATGGAGGAAGTGATGGAGGAGGTGATGGAGGAGGTGATGGAGGAAGTGATGGAGGAGGTGATGGAGGAGGTGATGGAGGAAGTGTTGGAGGAAGTGATGGAGGAGGGGATGGAGGAGGTGATGGAGGAGGTGATGGAGGAGGTAATGTAGGAGGTGATGGAGGAAGTGATGGAGGAGGTGATGGAGGAAGTGATGGAGGAGGTGATGGAGGAGGTGATCGAGGGAGTGATGGAGGAGGTGATGGAGGAGGTGATGTAGGAGGTGATGGAGGAGGTGATGGAGGAAGTGATGGAGGAGGTGATGGAGGAGGTGATGGAGGAGGTGATGGAGGAAGTGATGGAGGAGGTGATGGAGGAGGGGATGGAGGAGGTGATGGAGAAGGTGATGGAGAAGGTGATGGAGGAAGTGATGGTGGAGGTGATGGAGGAAGTGATGGAGGAGGTGATGGAGGAGGTGATGGTGGAGGTGATGGTGGAGGTGATGGAGGAGGTGATGGAGGAGGTGATGGAGGAAGTGATGGAGGAGGTGATGGAGGAGGTGATGGAGGAAGTGTTGGAGGAGGTGATGGAGGAAGTGATGGAGGAGGGGATGGAGGAGGTGATGGAGGAGGTGATGGAGGAGGTGATGTAGGAGGTGATGGAGGAAGTGATGGAGGAGGTGATGGAGGAGGTGATGGAGGAAGTGATGGAGGAGGTGATGGAGGAGGTGATGTAGGAGGTGATGGAGGAGGTGATGGAGGAGGTGATGAGGAGGTGATGGAGGAAGTGATGGAAGGGGTGATGGAGGAGGTGATGAAGGAGGTGATGGAGGAAGTGATAGTGGAGGTGATGGAGGAGGGGATGGAGGAAGTGATGGAGGAGGTGATGGAGGAGGGGATGGAGGAGGTGATGAAGGAGGTGATGGAGGAAGTGATGGAGGAGGGGATGGAGGAGGTGATGGAGGAAGTGTTGGAGGAAGTGATGGAGGAGGTGTTGGAGGAAGTGATGGAGGAGGTGCAGGAGGAGGTGATGGAGGAGGTGATGGAGGAAGTGTTGGAGGAAGTGATGGAGGAGGGGATGGAGGAGGTGGTGGAGGAGGTGTTGGAGGAGGTGAGGATGGACTCGATGATGGCCGTGTAGAACTGCACCAACATCTGTGCAGGCAGCTTGGCTTTCCTGAGCTGCCGCAGGAAGTACATCCTCTGCTGGGCCTTCTTGATGAGGAGCTGATGGTCGGCTCCCACTTGAGGTCCTGGTGATGGTGGTGCCCAGGAAACGGAAGGACTCCACAGAGGTGATGGGGGAGTCCATCAGGGAGGGGGGGACAGAGGTGATGGGGGACTCCATCAGGGAGGGGGGTACAGAGGTGATGGGGGAGTCCATCAGGGAGGGGGGGACAGAGGTTATGGGGGAGTCCATCAGGGAGGGGGTGACAGAGGTGATGGGGGAGTCCATCATGGAGGGGGGGACAGAGGTGATGGGGGAGTCCATCAGGGAGGGGGGAACAGAGGTTATGGGGGAGTCCATCAGGGAGGGGGGGACAGAGGTTATGGGGGAGTCCATCAGGGAGGGGGTGACAGAGGTGATGGGGGAGTCCATCATGGAGGGGGGGACAGAGGTGATGGGGGAGTCCATCAGGGAGGGGGGAACAGAGGTGATGGGGGAGTCCATCATGGAGGGGGGGACAGAGATGATGGGGGAGTCCATCAGGGAGCGGGGGAGAACTGTGTTTTTTCTGAAGTCCACAATCATCTCCACTGTCTTCTGGGCGTTCAGCTCCAGGTTGTTACCATTGCACCAGGACACCAGCCGGTCCACCCCCTCCTGTAGGAGACACCAGGACACCAGCCGGTCCACCTCCTCCTGTAGGAGACACCAGGACACCAGCCGGTCCACCTCCTCCTGTAGGAGACACCAGGACACCAGCCGCTCCACCTCCTCCTGTAGGAGACACCAGGACACCAGCCGGTCCACCTCCTCCTGTAGGAGACATCAGGACACCAGCCGGTCCACCTCCTCCTGTAGGAGACACCAGGACACCAGCTGGTCCACCTCCTCCTGTAGGAGACACCAGGACACCAGCCGGTCCACCTCCTCCTGTAGGCAGACTCATCGTTGTTGGAGATGAGTCCAATGAGGGTGGTGTCGTCCGCGAACTTGATCAGCTTCACAGAGTCGTTGCCGGAGGTGGTGGTTGGTGTACAGGGAGAAGAGCAGGGGAGAAAGAACACAGCCCTGTGGGGCTCCTGTATTAGAAGTGACAGCAAGATGGCGCCGGAGTGTCTGGTTCGCCGCTTTGCTCCGCCAGTGTTTATGTGTTTTACGTTGTTTTTATCCTGTTTCACACGGACCACAAACTCTCTCTCGGTGTACGAACGCCATGAGTTAATGAACATCAAAGCATTTGTGGACAGATGTGCGGAATATCATAGAGATGAGCCACACAAGTCGCGCCCCACTTACCTATCTGATGTTCCGGATTACTTGCTTCGAGTGAAAGCCTTGCTACCCAAGAAACGCAATACCCAATCTACTTTTGTCCAATCTAGCACTCAAAGTTGTGAAGATTTTTTGTCTTTTTTCACAAACAAGGTTGCGCTTATTCGTTCAAGCATATTGCCCCCTTCTATTGACTTCTGCATAAATCAGCCCTGCTCAGCGGTTTTTACACGGTTTGAGCCAATGTCTTTGCAGTCTCTAACAAAAATTGTCAGTCAAATAAAACCCTCATCTTGTCCTACAGACCCGGCCCCTCCGAGGTTGTTCAAAGATGTGTGGGAAACAATTGGTGCTTGTGTTTGTGAAATTGTGAACAGTAGCCTTGTTTCAGGAGTTGTCCCTTCCTTTTGTAAACAGGCTGTAATTGAACCACTTCTCAAGAAATCGAGCCTTGATACCTCCATTGTCTCTAATTATCGGCCGATTTCCAAACTTCCTTTTTTATCTAAACTGTTGGAAAAAAGTGTGCTCTGTCAATTACAGCCCTTTCTTGATGCACATGGTGTGTCAGACATGTTCCAGTCAGGTTTTAAAAGTTTGCATAGCACTGAATCCGCACTTTTAAAGGTTTTTAATGACCTGTTTTTAGTGACTGACTCAGGTAGTTCTGCCATTTTAGTGCTTTTAGACCTGACTGCTGCTTTTGACACGATTGACCACACAATTATTTTAGACCGACTCCGAGACAGTGTGGGTGTCAGGGGGACTGCTTTAGACTGGTTCAGGTCATACCTCAGTGGGAGGTCTTTCTCCGTTAGGCTTGGGGACTCCACCTCATCCTCTGCCTTCCCTGCGCTGTGGAGTTCCCCAGGGTTCAATTCTTGGCCCAGTTCTGTTTGCCCTTTATCTCCTCCCACTGAGTCAAATCTTTAAGAGGCACAGCATCTCATACCACTTTTATGCAGATGACTGTCAAATTTACTTGCCTCTTTCCAAGACAGCTAAAGGCCTCCTGACACCCTTGCTTGCCTGCCTGAGTGACGTCAAGGCTTGGTTGGCCCAAAATTTCCTCAGTCTTAATGAGGGGAAAACTGAAATTGTTATTTTTGGGCCCACTGACCCCTTAATGGACTTGGGCCCCTTTAAAGGCAACGTTCTCCCCTCTGCCACCAACCTTGGCGTCACCATGGACAGTGATTTTAATTTTACTAAACAGATTAACACAGTCGTCAAGTCAGGCTTTTACCATCTTCGCCTTTTATCTAAAGTCAAACCGTTTTTATCTTTTAAACATTTTGAACAAGTCGTGCATGCTTTTATTTCGTCACGCCTGGACTACTGTAATGCTCTTTATACAGGCATTACCCAAAATGCACTCTCACGCTTACAGTTAGTCCAGAACTCCGCTGCACGACTTATTACTGGAGCTAAAAAGCGTGACCATATTTCACCAATCCTCGCATCTTTGCACTGGCTTCCAGTCAAATTTAGAATTGATTTTAAGGTTTTGTTGTTTGTTTTTAAAGCGTTAAACGGACTGGCCCCTCAGTACGTCACAGACCTCATTGAAGTCTACACCCCAACGCGCGCTCTGAGGTCTGAGGGCCAGCTCCAGCTCGTGGTTCCTAAGACGAAACGTAAAACTCGTCTTAAAACCCACTTTTATTCTCTGGCTTTTAACACCGCGTGAGTTGTGTGGTCCCTGTGTCTTTTTAATTTTTTTAGTGTTTTATGATTTTTATTGATTTTATAAATTGATTATTTATTTATTTATTTTTTATTCTATTTGTGTACTTTTTTGTGCAGCACTTTGGAACTGTTCTGTTGTTTAAATGTCCTATAGAAATAAAGTGGATTGGATTGGATTTATAATCCGAGAGTCCGAGACATTCGGTCAATGATGAAGTCAAAGCAGCAGACACAGTTTTCTCTTTGTACAAAAATCTTTTTATTATTAAATAAATAAATACAACACTTTGAACACATTGATCCGGACAGTGTTGTTTCCAGATGTGGCTCCTGTACATTTTTACACTGTACAAGTCTCTTTACACAAATATCACGTCCTCTGACAGACACCAGGTAGGTTCACAGACACCAGGTGGCTTCACAAACACCAGGTGGATTCACAGTCTCCGGCTTTAAAACACTCAAAGCTGGGTGTCCGTCAGAAGGAGTCCTGGGGGGGTCACTGTTTGACTCTGAGCTGAGAGCTGATTGGCTGAGAGGGTGGTTCTCTCTTTATCACTTACTGTCCAAAAACAGCTGAACTAAAAATGTGAGAGAGACCAGAGACTAAAGAGAGAGACCAGAGAGAGACCAGAGACCAGAGAGAGACCAGAGAGTGACCAGAGACTAGAGAGATAAATCTGATCTAAAGTATAAGTGAAAACTAAAGACAAAACCAGTGAGTTTTTCACTTGTGGTTTGAAAGTTACGTACCCCAGCTTTAATATCGATAGAGATTTTGACCCAGTAAGAGGTCGCACTCACACTTCCTGTCCTCCAGCATAACATCCCCCCTGCCTTTCTGCCTGAATTATCTCTTCTCAAACTTATCAATACTTTGTCAAATCCTTTTTCATGTGTATCGACTATCTACGTTATTCCCGTTATATGAAACAGGAACAGCTGAAGTGAATCATCTCAGATCAAAACTGTGGAATCCACCAAAAAAACACTTAAAAACCTGATTTACACATATTCTAATCGCCAGTTCCAGCCCAGCGTTCCAGAGAGACCAGAGAGAGTACAGAGAGAGAGACCAGAGAGAGACCAGAGAGAGACCAGAGAGAGACCAGAGAGAGAGAGACCAGAGAGAGTACAGAGAGAGACCAGAGAGAGACCAGAGAGAGACCAGAGAGAGAGAGATCAGAGAGACAGTACAGAGAGAGAGAGAGTACAGAGAGAGACCAGAGAGAGAGAGACCAGAGAGAGTACAGAGAGAGAGAGACCAGAGAGAGACCAGAGAGAGAGACCAGAGTCTAGAGAGAGAGACCAGAGAAAGACTAGAGACCAGAGACTAGAGAAAGAGAGAGACCAGAGAGAGACTAGAGAGAGACCAGAGAAAGACTAGAGACCAGGGAGAGACCAGAGACCAGAGAGAGAGACCAGAGAGAGACTAGAGTGAGAGAGAGACCAGACTAGAAAGAGACCAGGGAAAGACCAGAGAGAGACTAGAGACAAGACAAAAAGAGAAGGACTAGAGAGAGTGAGAGCAGAGAATAAAGAGAGAGACCCGAAATTATAAAATATAGAGAGCCCACAGACTATAGAGACCAGAGACTATAGAGAAAGAGTAGGGAGAGCAGAGAGAGAGAGAGAGTAGTTTGCATCCGCCCGCGTGCTTTTGCTACATGTCATTGTTCCCATAGTGGCGTGGGTTTGGCTCGTGCTCCTCCTGGTCCCGCGGTTTTGCATGGTGTCCAGAGGATTTGCATGGAGCCTGCGGTTGATGGTGTCTAGCTACAGCGCTGCAGCAGCATGTTGAGGGAGTAGACCATGCGCTGCCGCAAGTCCGAGGTGCAGCCGGACGTCAGGAGAGAGCCCAGGGAGAAGGACCTGGAAACCCGCTCCTCGTTGATGTACGTGAGCGTGTACTGGTCCCGCTGGCAGCTCAGGATGATCTTGGTGTGGTCATGGTAGAAGTTCACCTAGAGAAAAGAAATACATGGGTTTTTAGTTATTTTACAGCAGCAAAGGATATGTACAAGCAGAGAGATCTATGTAGTTTGATGGTTGGTTTGGTAAGATCACAGCCAGAGAGAGCCAGAGAGAGAGACCTGAGAGAGAGAGACCAGAGAGAGAGAGACCAGAGAGAGAGAGAGATCAGGGAGAGAGAGAGACCAGAGAGAGAGAGAGACCAGAGAGAGAGAGAGATCAGGGAGAGAGAGAGAGACCAGGGAGAAAGAGACCAGAGAGAAAGAGAGACCAGGGAGAGACAAGAGAGGGACCAGAGAGAGAGACCAGAGAGACAGAGACCAGGGAGAGAGATACCAGAAAGAGAGGCTAGAGAGAGAGACCTGAGAGAGAGAGAGACCAGGGAGAACAAGAGAGACCAGGGAGAAAGAAACCAGGGAGAGAGAGACCAGAGAGAGACAGAGACCAGAGAGAAAAAGACCAGTGTGATGGATCAGGGAGAGACCAAGTGCGGGAGAGACCAGAGAGAGAAAGACTAGAGTGTGACCAGGGAGAGAGAGCGATACCAGAGAGCGAGAGAGAGAGCGAGAGACTGAGACCAGCGAGAGACCATAAAGAGAGAGACCAGCAAGAGAGAGACCAGCAAGAGACCATGGATATAGAAAGAGAAAGAGACCAAGAGAGAGACAGAGTATTTGTCTGTAGCTTTAAATCACAGCAGTCGTTTCTGATTCTCTGATCTGTTGTTGGTGAATCGATAACTTTGTACAGTCCTCACACAGAAAATAAGACCGTGTTCAGAGAGATCGTTGCTTTGGTTCACAACATGAATGCACTTTTCTCTTTTGTGCTCGAGTTACGCAACGAACAGACGAACGGACCAGACCGAGAGAGCGGCAGACTCACACTTTTGTTCTTTCTGTCTTTCCCAAAGCCATAAAATCAGGTCTGTGTGTGTCTGTGTCTGTGTGTGTGTCTGTGTGTCTGTGTGTGTGTCTGTGCGTGTGTCTGTGTCTGTGTGTGTGTGTGTCTGTGCGTGTGTCTGTGCGTGTGTCTGTGTCTGTGTGTGTGTCTGTGTGTGTGTGTGTCTGTGCGTGTGTCTGTGTGTGTGTCTGTGCGTGTGTCTGTGCGTGTGTCTGTGCGTGTGTCTGTGTGTGTCTGTGTGTGTCAGATACTGATGATAATAATAATAAACTAAACTATGGTCGGTCTGAAGCATCCGGACAAGGACATGTTTGTTCTGCCTTTGTCCAGGTCTTTCTGGTGCAATAACAGATCACAGAAAGAGAGAAAGAGAGAGAGAGAGAAAGAGAGACCGAGAGAGAGGGGCCAGAGAGAGAGAGGACAGAGAGAGAGGGGCCAGAGAGAGAGACCAGAAAGAGAGGCTAGAGAGAGTGACCAGAGAGAGAGAGAGAGAGACCAGGGAGAGCACTTGGTGCTCTGGTCTCTCTCCCTGGTCACTGTCTCCCTGGTCTCTCCCTGATCCATCTCACTGGTCTTTTTCTCTCTGGTCTCTGTCTCTCTCTGGTCTCTCTCTCCCTGACAGACACCAGAGAGACAAAAACAAGAGACAATGGTTGATGGTGTGAGACAAAGAGAGATAGACATGAAGAGACCAGAGAGATCTATGGGTCTCCCTGGTCCACCATCATGCTGTCGACCGGTTTAAACTGGTATCTCCTTAAAACACATGGTCCCAGTGTTTACCTGGAACGTGCCGTCGTTGAAGAGCATCATGAGGGCGCGGTCCGACTTCAGCCACTGCAGCAGGTACAGCCGAGACATGTGGGAGTCTGTCATGGTGCCCAGGTCTCCACCCTGAGACCAGAGAGAGAGAGACCAGAGAGAGAGACCAGAGAGAGAGACCAGAGAGAGAGACCAGAGAGAGAGACAAGAGAGAAGATTTAACTAACAGGTTTAACACACAGAAGGCCTAAAGCTAAAGCTGGGGTACTGAACTTTCAAACTATGTAAGTCCCCGGCCTCTAGTCCCCGGCCTCTAGTCCCCGGTCTCTAGTCCCCGGTCTCTAGTCCCCGGTCTCTAGTCCCCGGTCTCTAGTCCCCGGTCTCTAGTCCCCGGTCTCTAGTCCCCGGTCTCTAGTCTCCCCGGTCTCTAGTCCCCGGTCTCTAGTCCCCGGTCTCTAGTCCCCGGTCTCTAGTCCCCGGTCTCTAGTCCCCGGTCCCTCTCTAGTCCCCGGTCTCTAGTCCCCGGTCTCTAGTCCCCGGTCTCTAGTCCGGTCTCTAGTCCCCGGTCTCTAGTCCCCGGTCTCTAGTCCCCGGTCTCTAGCCCCCGGTCTCTAGCCCCCGGTCTCTAGCTCCCCGGCCTCTAGCCCCCGGCCTCTAGCCCCCGGCCTCTAGCCCCCGGCCTCTAGCCCCCGGCCTCTAGCCCCCGGCCTCTAGCCCCCGGCCTCTAGCCCCCGGCCTCTAGCCCCCGGCCTCTAGTCCCCGGCCTCTAGTCCCCGGCCTCTAGTCCCCGGCCTCTAGTCCCCGGCCTCTAGTCCCCGGCCTCTAGTCCCCGGCCTCTAGTCCCCGGCCTCTAGTCCCCGGCCTCTAGTCCCCGGCCTCTAGTCCCCGGCCTCTAGTCCCCGGCCTCTAGTCCCCGGCCTCTAGTCCCCGGCCTCTAGTCCCCGGCCTCTAGTCCCCGGCCTCTAGTCCCCGGCCTCTAGTCCCCGGCCTCTAGTCCCCGGCCTCCTGCTACACTTACGTCCATGAGATTCTCCTCCATGTAGTGAGAAAAGTACTTGAGCACCGTCACTTGTCCCACAAAGTGCTCAGGGACTTCGCAGGTGGGAAAGACGGAGCGCTGGCCCTGCTCTGCGTAGTAATGGATGGTTCTGGAAATACACCGATAAACACAGCTGTAAAAACATGATTCTAAAGTGAAACTGTTTTTAATCAAAGCCTCGGGAGCAGTTTGGAACATTTAAAATCTTTGTATTGATCTGTAAGATGTTAGAAATGACTTTTGGAAATGACTGTAAAAAACTAATGCTAACGCCATGTCCGTGTCTGTATGTGTGTGAGTGTGTGAGTATGTGAGTATGTGAGTATGTGTGTGTCTGTGTGTGTCTGTGTGTGTGTGTGTATGTATGTATATAATATCCACGTACTTCCTGTCGGGCAGCAGGCTCATGTGCGTCCCGTTGTTGAACAGCACCCCCACAGTGTGGTCCGACAGCTGGTACCCGAAGCCGTACTTGTTGGAGTAGTCCACCCACTTAGTGACCCACTGCAGACTGCAGGAGCCGGGGCCCGGGGCCAGACTCTCTGCTGCAGGAGCACAACAGTATGTCATAAATGCAATGATTACAAACATAGAGCCATTGGTCCATAAATGTCCTGAACCAGAGAGGATCTGGTCCTGACTCTGGGCTCTCACCTGTGGGCATGTTCTCCAAACAGCCTCTCAACACCCCGGCCACGGTCTGAGCCACGCCACAGCTCGAGTTGTCCTCCAAACCTGAAGCACAAGGATCACACATTATTTATAGTCTGTATAAAGACAACGAGTAATGATACTGTGTAGAACTCAGTCCTGGGTCTGCAGCCTCAGTGCTGGGTCTGCAGCCTCAGTGCTGGGTCTGCAGCCTCAGTGCTGGGTCTGCAGCCTCAGTGCTGGGTCTGCAGCCTCAGTGCTGGGTCTGCAGCCTCAGTGCTGGGTCTGCAGCCTCAGTGCTGGGTCTGCAGCCTCGGTCCTGGGTCTGCAGCCTCGGTCCTGGGTCTGCAGCCTCGGTCCTGGGTCTGCAGCCTCGGTCCTGGGTCTGCAGCCTCGGTCCTGGGTCTGCAGCCTCGGTCCTGGGTCTGCAGCCTCGGTCCTGGGTCTGCAGCCTCGGTCCTGGGTCTGCAGCCTCGGTCCTGGGTCTGCAGCCTCGGCCCTGGGTCTACAGCCTCGGTCCTGGGTCTACAGCCTCGGTCCTGGGTCTACAGCCTCGGTCCTGGGTCTACAGCCTCGGTCCTGGGTCTACAGCCTCGGCCCTGGGTCTACAGCCTCGGCCCTGGGTCTACAGCCTCGGTCCTGGGTCTACAGCCTCAGTCCTGGGTCTACAGCCTCAGTCCTGGGTCTACAGCCTCAGTCCTGGGTCTACAGCCTCAGTCCTGGGTCTACAGCCTCAGTCCTGGGTCTACAGCCTCAGTTCTCTCTAACTCACACTCGCTGCTGGAGCTGCAGCTGCCCAGACTGCCTCTCACGATCAACCGGATGGTGTCTTGCGATGTCGGGGGCGGGCTCTCCGTTGCCACGGCGACGGGGCTTCCGGCGTTTCCGTTCTGAGGAGAGAGGAGAGAGAGGGCGTAAGTCTCTGCTCAACCATGACTCAGCCCACTCCCACAGAGAGAACAGTCTGCTCCATGAAAGGACAGGTGGAGAGAGAGACCAGAAAGAGAGACCAGAGAAACAGCGAGAGAGCGACCAGAGAGAGAGACCAGACATTTACCTCTGTGATTCTGCGGTTCTGGCTGATCACGGTGCGTTCCAGATTGTGTTGTAGTTTGTAGATTTCCTCCTCCTCTTTTGTCAGTTTGTCTGTGAGAGAAACTTTATGTTATTTTAATTCACCAAAAGAAATGACGACAACACAAACAGAAACCAGGGAGAGACCAGAGACGAGGGAGAGAAGAGAGGGACAGAGACCAGGGGGAGACCATGTTGAATAATCAGAGTCACTTACTCAGAGTCTCAAAGTACTTGACTTTGTCTCTGCGGCCTCCAAACAGAGCGGCTGCTGCTTTCTTGAAGAAGCTCTTGGCCGGACTGGACACGTGGAAGTCTGGAGGAGAGTGACAGCAGCTGGGAGAGAGACGCTCCGGAGAGAAACCCTGTGAGAGAGAGAACCGGGGTCAGAGCAGAGAGAGACCAGAGAGAGACCATAGAGAGACCATAGAGAGACCATAGAGAGACCAGAGAGAGACCAGAGAGAGACCAGAGAGAGACCAGAGAGAGACCAGAGAGAGACCAGAGAGAGACCAGAGAGAGAACCGGGGTCAGAGCAGAGAGAGAGCTGAGAGAGACCAGATAGAGACCAGAGAGAGACCAGAGAGAGAGAGAGACCAGAGAGAGCCCAGAGTTTGCTTTGACTAAAAGAGGGTTTCTTCAGTCCTGGTTTGAGCAGACTCTGACCTGGGTGAAGAAGTCGTGTCGGAGGATCTGGTCCAGGTCTGGCCGGTCCTCTGGGGTCTTGGACAGGAGCCCACTGATGAGCTGCTTGGCCTGAGGCGAGAGAGAGGAGGGGAGAGAGTACCGCGCCTCTCTGATGCAGCGATACGTCTCCTTTAAGTTCGTGGTTTCAAACGGAGGTCTGCCCAGTAACATGGTGTACCTGCAGAGGACGCACAACAGCAGAGAGGTGTTAAAGCTGGGGTACCTGACTTTTTACACATGTTTAGTCTAAAAAAACAGAGAAAACATGGTATATATTGTGTGAAAAAGAACGCTGTGAGTCACTATTTGACTGTTTGGGCTGAGAAATGATTGGCTGAGAGAGGGGGGTCCTCTCTTTGTCACTTTTTTGTTAGAAAAAGTGAATCTAAAATGGAAATCAGGAATACCAGGACCAAAGACCAGGGGCAAGACCATGGGAACTAGTGATAGAAGGAGACTGGGACCAGAGAGAAAGAAATAAAGAGAGCAGACATAGAGAAAGAGAGACAAATACAGAGAGCAGAGAGAGAGACTACAGGGAGAGAAAGAGACAAAAGACTAGAGAGCAAGAGACAAAGAGAGAGACCAGAGAAGGACTAGACAGAGAGAAAGAGACAAGAGAGTGAGAGAGCAAGAGAGACCAAGAGAGACCAGAGAGAGAGAGACTAGAGGGAGAGAAAGAGACAAGAGACCAGAGAGAGAGAGAGACTAGAGGGAGAGAAAGAGACAAGGGACTAAAGAGCGAGAGAGAGAGACCAGATTCTTTGTCTATCGGGATGAACTCCAAAGAATATGAAGCTAAAAGGTCTCCCATCCCCCTTTGCCCCTCCGCACCCTGCTGTACTTACATGACGCAGCCCAGGGCCCAGATGTCGGACGCGCAGCCGTGGCCTTGCTTGTTCAGAACTTCAGGGGACAGGTAGTTGGGGGTCCCACAGATGGTCTTCCTCCGGTTCCCCTCGGGCTCCAGTTTGGCGGCGAGTCCGAAGTCTCCGACCTTCAGCTCCATGGACTCGCTCACAAAGAAGTTACCTGCAGGGGGCGCCAGAGAGCAGCGGTTTAAACACGTGTCTCTGGGTCCCGGTCTCTCTGGGTCCCGGTCTCTCTGGGTCCCGGTCTCTCTGGGTCCCGGTCTCTCTGGGTCCCGGTCTCTCTGGGTCCCGGTCTCTCTGGGTCCCGGTCTCTCTGGGCTCTCTCTCTCGGCTCTCTCCTCTCGTCTCTCTCGTCTCTCTCTCTCGTCTCGTCTCTCTCGTCTCGTCTCTCTCGTCTCGTCTCTCTCGTCTCTCTCTCTCGTCTCTCTCTCTCGTCTCTCTCTCTCGTCTCTCTCTCTCGTCTCTCTCGTCTTACCCAGCTTGAGGTCTCTGTGGAGGATCTCCTGCTCGTGGAGGTATCTGAGTCCTGATACGATTTGTCGGAGGTAGTACCGCACTTCGGGTTCTGTGAGGACTTTCCGAGCCTTCAGGATGTGGGCCAGCGACTGTCAACCAATCAGAGTGAAGTTAATCGACCAATCAACACTATCCAACTTTGTATTATAAAGCTAAGGAACATAACACACACAGTTCCACCGTGTGTCGATACATGTACAATGTCAATAGGTTTTTGTATGTTCTCAGCTCGTGCCGCAGCCCTCCTCCTCCCCATCACCAACAGTGGGGCTTCGGCACAGACATGCTTTGATGCTAGCTAAAAATGCTAGTAATGCAGCAACTAATGTATTTAAAAACGTAACGCAATAAACTCATTTTTAGATAAATCAATGATTAATCTCTCTCTCTCTCTTTTTGGTCTTTCCCTCTGGTCTCTCTCTCTGGTCTCTCTTTCCCTCTGCTCTTTCTCTGGTCTCCCTCTCTCCCACTGGTCTCTCTCTCTCTCTCTCTCAACTCACTCTCTGCCCTCTCTCTTCGCTCCCTTTCTACTCTCTCTGGTCTCTCTCTCTCTACCCTCTTTCTCTGGTTCAGCGCATTAGAAAACACTATCTGTGTCAGAGAGATCTCTGTGAGTCACCATTGGACTCTGTGGGCTGAGAGCTGATTGGCTGAGAGAGGGGGGTTCTCTCTTTGGCACTTTTCTGTCTGAAAAACCTGACCCAAAGAAGTGACAGAGACCAAACATACATGAAACTACTGACAGAAGCAAATGTTTTCTAGAACTCGACTGTAGAGCTAGATCGTCTTCCACCTGCCCAGGCTTTGAAAGTCAGGTACCCCAGCTTTAATCGCCTATTTCCGACGTGTTTTGAGTTAAACCCAGGCTCGGACACAGCCTGTTTCGATCTGCACACTCACCTTCCTGCTGCAGTACTCCAGCAGAATATAAATGTGCTCCTTGTCCTCAAAGTGGTGGTAGAAGTGCACGATGTGTCTGTGGTTTAGCGCTTTGTGGAGCTCGATTTCTCTGTCGATCTGAACAAAAACACACACCATGAAATCATATCAAACAGTCTACTATGAACGTCAGAATGGTTTTACAGAGGTCTGGTCTCACCTTCTCCCTCTGGTGCGGCTTGGAGACCCGAGAGTGCGGGATGATTTTGGCGGCGTACACTTTGCTGGTGGAGAGGTCCGTGAGCTCATAGCACTTGGCGAAACCTCCCTGAAGAGAAACGAGAGAGAAACGCAAAAATTAGGCGTTTTTTTACCTTCGGCACTATCTGCGGGGTTATTACTTTAGCGTTTCATGTGTTAGAACATCTTGCGAAGGAGATAGATCGGTAAAAATGAGAGATAAGATAAGTCGAAAGGGTAGTATTTGACTTCTGTCTTGTCGTAGCAGCGGTAAGTCGTGGTTTTGGGACGTTCGAGGCGATACTTTTGTTTTATTAGCAGGAAACGGCTCAAAACATGAAGTCATAGTCCCACGCGTCCGCTTCATCCAACCCCTGATTACAATATGTGGGAAGGTGTGCAGAGACCAGCAAGCAGAGAGAAAGAGTAGAGAAAGACCAGAGAAGGATCAAGGAGAGAGAGAGAGACCACAGAGAGACCAGAGGGGGATCAAAGAGAGAGAGAGAGAGAGACTTTAGAAGGACCAGAGAGAGAGGCCGGAGAGAGAGCACAGATAAGCTTTAGTAGGATCAAAGAGGGAGACCAGAGAGACTAGAGAGAGAGAGACCAGAGAGACCAGAGAAAGAGAGACTTTAGAAGGAGAGGGGGAACAGAGAGGGGGAACAGACTAGAGAGAGAGAGAGAGAGAGAGCAGAGAGAGAGACAAGAGCAAGAAAAACAAGAGAGACCAGAGAGATAAAAACTTGTCCAATGCTGGTAAATGCATTTTCAGTCTGCAGTTTTTCTCTGCTTTTAAACACAACTTATTTACTCATTTATAAAATAAATATATAAATAACAACACATCAGGAAAATCATAATGACTTCAAAACTTTAAATCTCTCTTGCTTCTCCCTCTGGTCCCTCTCTGGTCTCTTTCTGGTTTCTGGCTTCTATCTCTCCCTCTCTGGTCTCTCTCTCCCTCTCTGGTCTCTCTCTCCCTCTCTGGCCTCTCTCTCCCTCTCTGGCCTCTCTCTCCCTCTCTGGCCTCTCTCTCCCTCTCTGGCCTCTCTCTCCCTCTCTGGCCTCTCTCTCCCTCTCTGGCCTCTCTCTCCCTCTCTGGCCTCTCTCTCCCTCTCTGGTCTCTCTCTCCCTCTCTGGTCTCTCTCTCCCTCTCTGGCCTCTCTCTCTCTCTCTGGTCTCTCTCTCTCTCTGGCCTCTCTTTAATCTCAGTTATCTTCCATAGCTACACAAACTTCTCCACTTTAGTTTTTCCTTCTGTTTCTTTTAAACCCGTCTCTTTGTAAAGTACTTCTCGAACAGTTTTCTGTCCACATGGACCTGACCCGAGCTGAAGGACTCTCACGTCACCGGAGAACATTGAACAACTCTGACAGAGCAGGGACGAGTGAGGGACGAGTGAGGGACTCAGACTTGAGGCTGAAACGTGGGAGTTCTGAAGTGCATTCTCAGCCGCAGGATTGACTCAACATCTCCCTCTCTCAGAACCAGAACTATTTGTACCATGTGTATATCAAACCTAAAGATTGTTCTGAACATTTAGGGATTCTGGGGACTTGTTCAATACTCAGTCTCCCATCGCTCACAAGAGACTACACCCTGACGTGAGGCGGGAGAAGGACTTTGTGTTCTTTGGTATTACTGCAGAAATATACCCTGCAGGCTCTGGGGTCTCTCTCTGGTGTCTCTCTCTCACTGGTGTCTCTCTGGTGGAGAGGGCAGAGGGAGACCAGAGACCGCGACCAGAGAGAGAGAGACCAGAGAGAGAGAAAGCCGAGAGAGAGCAGAGAGGAAGAGAGCCGAGAGAGAGCAGAGAGGGAGAGAGCAGAGAGAGAGCCGACGTAGAGCTGAGAGAGCAGAGGTAGAGCCGAGAAAGAGAGAGAGACTAGAGAGAGAGACACCAGAGAGACCAAGGATAGTAGACACCAGAGGGAGAGACCAGGGAGAGAAACACCAGAAAGGGTGAGACCAGAGAGAGACCAGAGAGGGAACAAGACCAGAGAGAGTCTAGATAGAGGGACCAGAGAAACCAGAAAAACAGATACTTCTCCGTGGTTTTGTTTTTATACAGACATCTGTCATGACGTCACATCTGCACTGTCAACGTCTACCGTATGTATTTATATTTTAGAATAATATTTAGATTTTATTTTCATGCTTTTACATCTTTTTTACTTATTTGCTCCAAACTTAAAACATTGCACCTCAGTCTGCGACTCTGTTCCTCACAATCAAAGCAACACAAACAATTCTGATATTTTTACAGTTTTCATTGAGAGCTGCAGAAATATCACAGAAAAGCAACTATCTCATTCAAGTCCTTTGCAGCGGCTTTAATCCAAGACTTGTGGAACCCGCGCTCTTGTTGCTCTTGCACTGGTGAAAAAAATGTAAAATCCAAACGACATTTTTAACGATATTTTCCCCATAACCGCGAGCAGCTGCTGGGACCGGGCCGCGCTCTGCTCCGGTCCGTGCCCGTACATAGATCCACAAAGAGCCGCTACCTTTCCCAGCACCTTCCCGCGACAGTAGCACTTCCCCGCGGCTGAGTCTGTGATGATCCGGGCCATGTCCCCTGGAGCGCCCCGGTCCTCGGGTCTCTGTCTCCTGGGGGCCTCTCCTCCGGCTCTCAGCGGGGGGTCGCACATGACGCTGCCGGGGGTGATGGGGGAGATGACTGGACTGGGATCTTCCATAGAGTATAGGCGGAGATCGAGAAGAGTTTGTACATCCAGGACTGAGACTGAGGCTGAAGCTACAGGCGAGAGGCTTTATACCTCCCCCCCCCCGACGGTCCCTCCTCCTGCCCCCGCCTCCTGGAGCTGACATCACGGCGTCAAACCAGGGCACAGCAGCCTCTCTGGTGTGAGAACAAAACCAAACCCATCTTCCAAGCAGCCAACTCTGAAATCAACTACATTCAATCTATGAGCCTCATAAAGAGCAAATAAAATAACTCCACAGTCAAATTATTCGAAACCTTAATACATCAACCATAAAAACTCATTCATATTAATTATATTAATATTTTCTATAATCTAATTTTCAATATTTACTCTCTATCTCTAATAAGTCATTAAAGTAATAAAAGCATATATAATTCCTTTTTCTTACTATATCTTTTATGAATGTCATTTGTTTGTTTATAATGTAAATGTTTTTTGTTTTTGTCTTCCCCATTGTATATTTTCCTTGTATATGTATATTTGTCTTTTTTATAAATAAAAAACAAAAAAACAAAAAAGCCTCTCTGGTGTGAGGTGGCTGGTCCAATGCAGTCACTACACGACGCCCTGGGGCAGCCACGTACAGCTCCACAGGCTCTTGGTAAAGCTGGGGGACTGGACTTTTTAGAATCTTTTGCATGTTTGTTAGAAAGCTCTATCTGAGAGACCTGTCAATCACAATAATGTGCATCAGTTTTACACAGCGCTGTTTTGGACTCTCAAAGTCTCTTCACATCAATATTCTTTCTCTCCAAACACGGTGGTGATAAACTACTGTAGCCACAGCTGCCCTGGGGCACACTGACAGAAACAAGGAAACCAGTCTGTGCCAGCAGCCCCTCCCACCACCACCACCAACCATTCACGCACACGCCAGACTCACAATACAATAGTAACTATAGTTACTGGTCTCTCTAGTCTCTTGTCTCACTCTGGGCGGCACGGTGGCTGAGTGGATAGCACTCTCGCCTCTGAGCAAGAAGGTCCTGGGTTCGAATCCCGGTCGGACCAGGGCCTTTCTGAGTGGAGTTTGCATGTTCTCCCCGTGTCTGCGTAGGTTTCCTCCGGGTACTCCGGTTTCCCCTACCACTAAAAATATGTCCAATAGTTCTGGCATGCGCCTCTGTACTGGCGACCCCGCTCCCATCTCTGTGTGGAGTGAGAGACAAATGCCCAAAATTAACAATTGTAAACTGCTTTGAGACTCAGATCTGCAGTGAAAAGGCGGTGTATAAATAAAAACTTACTTACTTACTCTGGACGCTTTCAGGTCTCTATTTTTCCTGGTCTTCTTTGGTCTATCTCTCTGGTCTCTCTCTGGTCTCTCTGGTCTCTCTCTGGTCTCTATCTGCAGATTGGCTGTACATCTGCGCCATCGGCCTCATACTGGGCAGTGTGTGTGTGACGTGTTCAGCCTCCTCAGCTGTGTTTCCTTTGGAGAAGGCAGAGTAACTGGAGGAGAATGATATGAATGAAGCTGTGTGAGACTGTAGAGCACTGACCCCCTCTGGTGGACGCGCTGAGAACTGCAGCTCGTGGTCAGACCAGAACAATCACACCCAGCTCTGGGTTTGTGTCTCCCTTTGAGCAGTTTGGAGTGAGTTTTAAATGCTAAACCCTCTGCTTTCTCTCTGGTCTCGTTCTAGTCTCTTTCTGGTCTCTCTCTCTCTGCGCTCTCTTTATGAACAAACAAAAATATATCACTTCAGAGTCATTCTTTTTGATAACCATTTCTTTATTCAAACAGCTCTCTCAGGTCCAGGTCCAAAGACACACCAGAGAGAGACCAGAGAGAGACCAGAGAGAGACCAGAGAGAGACCAGAGAGAGACCAGAGAGAGACCAGAGAGAGACCAGAGAGAGACCAGAGAGAGACCAGAGAGAGACCAGAGAGAGACCAGAGGGAGACCTGAGAGAGACAGGAGGGACAGACCAGAGAGAGACCAGAGAGAGACAGGAGGGACAGACCAGAGAGACTGTATATTCTGAGAACTTGAATAAAAACACTTGTGACATCACATTCTTCTCAATGATATCAGTGCAACTTTTTATTACGAGCTTCATTTTTCTGTTTGTCTGAAGAGACTTTCCTCGTCCTTCACTTTGTCTCAGAGTCTAGTCTCTGAGTCCAGTCTCGCTCGCACTGCGCTGATGTCGTAGGCCCAGGTCTGGTCCAGACCGGATCCACAGGAGGACTTGGGGCTCCAGTTTGGGACCGGGAACCGACAGGAAACCAGGAGAGACCCGTCTGGGAGCTCCTTCAGCAGCTTCTCCCCGAGAGCTTCCATCTGTGAGAGAGACCAGGTTACCATCAAGAAGGGCACCAGGGGTCTCTCTCGGGTCTCTCTCTGGTCTCTTTCTGTCTCTCTCTCTGGTCTCTTTCTGGTCTCTCTCTCTGGTCTCTCTCTCTGGTCTCTCTCTGGCCACTCTCTCTGGCCTCTCTGGTCTATCTCTCTTCAACCTCTGGTCTCTCTCTCTGGTCTCTCTCTCTGGTCTCTCTCTCTCTGGTCTCTCTCTCTGGTCTCTCTCTCTGGTCTCTCTCTCTGGTCTCTCTCACCGCTCCTGGTGCGAGGAAAGCCGTCACGTTGCTGTACGACGACAGATCGCTCTGAAACACAAGAGACAAGATCAAACCATAAACTTTACAAAAACATCCATTTGTTTTCTTCCACTTTATCCGTTTCCACCTGAGAGACACAGCGTGTCCTGGGAGAAGCAGCGGCTCTACTTCGAGCTCCTTCCATGTGACTGAGCTCCTTAATATCTCTAAGGTAGCTCTCTCTCTGGTCACTCTCTCTGGTCTCTCTCTCTGGTCTCTCTCTCTGGTCTCTCTCTCTGGTCTCTCTCTCTGGTCCCTGGTCTCTCTCTGTGGACAAACCTTCCAGAAGTCAGCCTTCTTGAAACAGACCCGACTCGAGGGCAGGCCGCTCCATCGGGCTTTGGTTCGACTGAACGAGACCAGGACCGAGTTTATCTCAAAACCAGTGCACTGGAAACCAGCAGAGGAGGCGGCCATCACCTGGACACAACCAGAGTGAAATTAGAGAGGGACCAGAGAGCGGGAGATCAGAGACCAGAGAGACCAGAGAGAGACCTGGTCTCTCTGGTCCCTGGTGTCTCTGGTCTCTCTGGTCTCTCTGGTCTCTCTGGTCTCTCTGGTCTCTCTGGTCTCTCCGGTCTCTCTGGTCTCTCTGGTCGCTCTGGTCTCTCTGGTCTCTCTGGTCTCTCTGGTCTCTCTGGTCTCTCTGGTCTCTCTGGTCCATGGTCTCTCTGGTCCCTGGTCTCTCTGGTCCCTGGTCTCTCTTGTCCTTGGTCTCTCTTGTCCTTGGTCTCTCTGGTCTCTCTGGTCTCTCTGGTCTCTCTGGTCTCTCTGGTCTCTCTGGTCTCTCTGGTCTCTCTGGTCTCTCTGGTCTCTCTGGTCTCTCTGGCCTCTCTGGTCTCTCTGGTCTCTCTGGTCTCTCTGGTCTCTCTGGTCTCTCTGGTCCCTGGTCTCTCTGGTCCCTCACCAGTCGTCCGTCTCCAGAGCCCAGATCAGCGAGTCGACCGGCCCGGCCCCTCAGCTGGTGCAGGACGTTCATAGTCTGCTGTGGACTGGATGGTAAGTACGGGACCTGCGGAGACCAGAAGCAGTGAGACCAGGACCAGAGACACCTGGTACATCTGGTCCTCAACCTCCTCTGAAACTTCTTGAAGCTTGGAGTTATCTAGTAGTTGCAGATTAGTTTCATTCTCTGGTCTCTCTTGTATCTCTGCCATCTCCGCTCTCTCTGGTCACACCCTCACTGGTCTCTCTCTTTCTGGTATCTTTCAGTGTCTAGTCGCTCTCTCTTCTCTCTCCCTCTGGTCCCTCTCTGTTCTCTCTCTAGACTCTCTCTCTAGTCTCTCTCTAGTCTCTCTCTAGTCTCTCTCTAGTCTCTCTCTGGTCTCTCTCTGGTCTCTCTCTGGTCTCTATCTGGTTCATCTCTGCTCTCTCTGGGGTCTTTCTGGTCTCTCACATACAGATGCACATGGTATAGACTTACCGTGACGCTGCTTTCTCACATGTGTTGCTACATCAAAGAACTATGTCCCAAAACAAGCAGATTGTTACTGTGCAAGTCTCCACCGAGTTCACATAGTCCGGACTGAAACACGTCCCTGAGCTTTAATCAACCACGACATTTGGTCAAAAGGCTGCGTTCAGTTGTAACAGGTGTCACAGAACTATACAGGTACCCCTGGTCTCTCTCTGGTCTCTCTCTGGTCCCTCTCTGGTCTCTCTCTGGTCTCTCTCTGGTCTCTCTCTGGTCTCTCTCTGGTCTCTCTCTGGTCTCTCTCTGGTCTCTCTCTGGTCTCTCTCTGGTCTCTCTCTGGTCTCTCTCTGGTCTCTCTCTGGTCTCTCTCTGGTCTCTCTCTGGTCTCTCTCTTGTCTCTCTCTTGTCTCTCTCTTGTCTCTCTCTTGTCTCTCTCTTGTCTCTCTCTTGTCTCTCTCTTGTCTCTCTCTGGTCTCTCTCTGGTCTCTCTCTGGTCTCTCTCTGGTCTCTCTCTGTCTCTCTGTCTGGTCTCTCTCTGGTGTCTGTAGTCCATCTAGTTTCTCTCTGGTCTCTCTCTTGTCCCGTCTCTGGTCTCTCTCTGGTCTCTCTCTGGTCTCTCTCTGGTCTCTCTCTGGTCTCTCTCTGGTCTCTCTCTGGTCTCTCTCTGGTCTCTCTCTGGTCTCTCTCTGGTCTCTCTCTGGTCTCTCTCTTGTCCCGTCTCTGGTCCTTCTCTGGTCTCTCTCTGGTCTCTCTCTGGTCTCTCTCTGGTCTCTCTCTGGTCTCTCTCTGGTCTCTCTCTTGTCTCTCTCTCTTGTCTCTCTCTTGTCTCTCTCTTGTCTCTCTCTTGTCTCTCTCTTGTCTCTCTCTTGTCTCTCTCTTGTCTCTCTCTGGTCTCTCTCTGGTCTCTCTCTGGTCTCTCTCTGTCTCTCTCTCTGGTCTGTAGTTTCTCTCTGGTCTCTCATGTCCCGTCTCTGGTCTTTCTCTAGTCTCTCACCAGTCTCTCTCTCTAGTCTCTCTCTGGTCTCTCTCTGGTCTCTCTCTGGTCTCTCTCCAGTCTCTCTCTGGTCTCTCTCTGTCTCTCTCTGGTCTCTCTCTGTCTCTCTGTCTGGTCTCTCTCTGGTGTGGTGTCTGTGGTCCATCTAGTTTCTCTCTGGTCTCTCTCTTGTCCCGTCTCTGGTCTCTCTCTGGTCTCTCTCTGGTCTCTCTCTGTCTCTCTCTGTCTCTCTCTGTCTCTCTCTGGTCTCTCTCTGGTCTCTCTCTGGTCTCTCTCTGGTTTCTCTCTGGTGTCTGTGGTCCATCTAGTTTCTCTCTGGTCTCTCTCTTCAGTAGGGAGACCAGAGAGAGACCAGAGAGACTATCATCCCTGTAACATGCTGATGTCACATGAATGCAGCCTTGGACCTCTGTCTCTCTCCACATGACCTTAGCTTGACGTTGGAGCTGGTGAAGCAGACTGTTCCTCTCTGACCTTGAGTCTCCAGGGCACGGTTCTCAATCCGGGGAGAGCGAACATGCTCCAGAAGCCGTAGGACCCAGAGAGCAGAGCGAGAGAGCACAACGAGACCAGCGGGTGATCTGTGCCACGAGAGACCGAGAAGTCCTGAAGAAGAACCTCCACACTGTCTTCCATCTCTGCTGAGGACGAGAGAGACTGACACTGTGAGAGAGACCAGAGTGAGACCAGAGATACCAGAGAGAGACCTGACACCAGAAAGAGACCAGCGAGAAAGAGAGCATAGACCAGAGAGAGACTTTAGACCAGAGAGCGAGACCAGAGAGAAAGAGAGAGCAGAGACCAGAGAGAGCGAGCAGAGACCGGAGAGAGACCAGAGAGAAAGAGAGCAGAGAAGGACAAGAGACCAGAGGAAGACCAGAGGAAGACCAGAAGAAGACCGGAGAGAGACCAGAAAGTTGTGTGTTGTCATGGAGCAAAAACATATTCGTATCAATGAGAATTGACATAAAAAAATGGCACCAATGTTATTTACAGAACCACTCAGCTGCAGTTTCCTCTGTGGACGGCAGAGGGCGCCACCGTGCCCTCATATGCGTCACATTTGTTTACACAGACACAGACATAAGCTACAGCAGCAAATGAACGAGAATAAACGAGACTGTGAAAGGAGACTGGAGAAAGAAGAGGGTGTATGACCATGGTTACACTGCAGTCAATTCAAAAGGGACCAGAGAGATATGAGAGAGACCAGAGAGAGATTAGATAGAGAGACTTGAGACCAGAGAGAGACCAGAGAGAGAGAGATCAGAGAGACCAGAGAGACACCAGAGTGAGATCAGATAGAGACACTTGAGACACTTGAGATCAGAGAGACACCAGAGAGAGATCAGATAGAGAGACTTGAGACACTTGAGATCAGAGAGACACCAGAGAGAGATCAGATAGAGAGACTTGAGACCAGAGAGAGACCAGAGAGAGTGAAGTAAACACCAAACCACACATGTTTACGCACGTCTGCTCAGTTACGTCCCCGTGTATGACGTCAGCGCGCACGTATCGCGCAGAGTCAGCCGTTTGGCGCAGTTTTCGTGTGTGTGTTTTGCGGGAAAGGAACTCACCTGGTGCGACTTCTGCGGACGACGTGGTGTGGATCTGCAGACGTGGAGCTGCGCTGAGAGGCCCGCAGGTACATGTCACAGTCCCTAACCCTATCCCTGGGAGAGACCGGGTTGGGGTGCACGCTGCGTCCGCTTCATCCAACCCCTTCAGTGGAAACGATTTGTTCATTTTTGCTTTGCATAGAATTTATTCAAACTGTTTCAATCTTATTTTAAGACATACCGTTGCAACACACAGCAGTAGAGTAGAGTGGATTAGGTTTGAGTAGAGTAGAGTAGAGTAGAGTAGAGTAGAGTAGAGTAGAGTAGAGTAGAGTAGAGTAGAGTAGAGTAGAGTAGAGCAGAGCAGAGTAGAGTAGAGTAGAGTAGAGTAGAGTAGACTAAAGTCGAGTAGAGCAGAGCAGAGTAGAGTAGAGTAGAGTAGAGTAGAGTAGAGTAGAGTAGAGTAGAGTAGAGTAGAGTAGAGTAGAGTAGAGTAGAGTAGAGTAGAGTAGAGTAGAGTAGAGTAGAGTAGAGTAGAGTAGAGTAGAGTAGAGCAGAGTACTCTCTCTCTCACTCACACAGAGCTCTATAAAAGGCTTCACTTTGAGATTGCGTAACAGCATCTGTTTCACACGGGTTGTGGAGCCAGAGCGTTTGATTGGCTGTGAAGTGAGAGGGGGCGGGGCCTACTGGGTCCCTGCACTGGAGCTGCACTTCCAGGACCACAACCAGGAGCCAGGAAGGAGAGCTCAGCCCATACAAGGAAACGCAAAGTACTGAACTAAACAAGAAAGACACAATAAAATCATAAAACAGTAATAATAATTAACCTGGATTCAAACATTGTCAAAAAGAAGCCTGTCTCACATTTCCAGGAAGACAGTTCCAGATTTTAGCATGAATCTGAAACGCTGCCTCTCCATGTTTAGTCCTGACTCTAGTCCCTGTGCTCCTCAGAGTCCCAGCAGGAGGCCAGTCCCTGTGCTCCTCAGAGTCCCAGCAGGAGGCCAGTCCCTGTGCTCCTCAAGAGAGTCCCAGCAGGAGGCCAGTCCCTGTGCTCCTCAGAGTCCCAGCAGGAGGCCAGTCCCTGTGCTCCTCAGATCTACATCCTCAGTCATGGATCTACATCCTTAGTCCTGGATCTACAGCCTCAGTCCTGGATCTACATCCTTAGTCCTGGATCTACATCCTTAGTCCAGGATTGGATCTCTGAGTGGTTCCTTTCTGATGCAGGAGGGTTAAAGGATAGTGATGATCCGGGACATTTCTGCGCATGTATGAACATTCTGGACAGTGGTCTTCCCGCTCCCTATGGACCGATGGCTCCTATGAGCTTGTTTTTGTGGGGGCACCGCTGAGGGGATTTCTGACTTGATGTCAATGAGACACAATGAGAGCGTTGGACATTTGGCTGTGTGTCTTTCCTCCGTCTTCATCCCTTGGGTTCTGCTATGGCTTTGAACCCAGCTAACAGCACCCCCCACCCCCCCACATGCCCCTGGTTTGTCCCATTGTGTGAGGCCGCTGGAGGTGAGTGATACGGGGCAGGAAGCGGCAGACCTCACAGACAATGCCAGGGCAGACCCGAGACCTTCGAGCCCGCCGCGCTATCAAAGAGCCGGCTTAGCGCGCTCCCAGCCTCACCTCGGCCGGGGGAAGGGGCCACGTCATGCTCAGGAAGTCGTGAGCTCTGATGTCCAACCACGCCCTCCGCCGTGGCAACAACAAGACCAGGTGTGTGACGACCGTGGAGCTGGGTGCAGGACCAGGAGGCCGTGAAACAGAGACAGAGAACCCAGATGCAACTCCTCAAAATGGAGATTGGACTGCCAAGGATCCCAAACAGACAGTGCTCATTTTTCAATTCAATTCATCGGCAACAGCAGTCGTACTGAGGGACTTTACAAAGTTTTCGGTTCACCCACAACAGGTCGATCAACACAGGAAATTTATGAATAACAAACACATAGAAGCCATTGGTTCATAAGGAACACTGGCCAGAAATGTTGATAAATGTCCATGAATGTCGCGGCTCATCATGTTCCTCCTGCATCGGCAAAGGAACCACTGAAAAAACCCAGTAGGAAAAGTGAGAAGAGATGGTATATCCAGGACTGAGGCTGTAGATCCAGGACTGAGGCTGTAGATCCAGGACTGAGGCTGTAGATCCAGGACTGAGGCTGTAGACCCAGGACTGAGGCTGTAGATCCAGGACTGAGGCTGTAGACCCAGGACTGAGGCTGTAGACCCAGGACTGAGGCTGTAGATCCAGGACTGAGGCTGTAGACCCAGGACTGAGGCTGTAGATCCAGGACTGAGGCTGTAGATCCAGGACTGAGGCTGTAGATCCAGGACTGAGGCTGTAGATCCAGGACTGAGGCTGTAGACCCAGGACTGAGGCTGTAGATCCAGGACTGAGGCTGTGTAGATCCAGGACTGAGGCTGTAGACCCAGGACTGAGGCTGTAGATCCAGGACTGAGGCTGTAGATCCAGGACTGAGGCTGTAGACCCAGGACTGAGGCTGTAGATCCAGGACTGAGGCTGTAGACCCAGGGCTCACACTGTAGAACAAGGACTCAGACTGTAGAAGGAGGACTAAGGTAATGCAGTACAACATTGCTGGAGCCAGTGAAGATCCTTTAATATAATGTACGTGCAAAAAGCGTGATATCTTTTTCTCGTCTGAGTCAGAATTAGACACTCACCGTCAGAGTTTGGGCTTGGGAACACTTGGCCTTCTCCATGATTGAAATGACCCCCATAGGAAGTACCATCATGAGCAGGGCTGTCCCTACCTGTTATGTCGACGATCAATTAGTTGCAGATTATTCTTTTGATAAATCCAGGAGCGATACCTATACCTATTGTACATGTTTTTAGAGGTAGGGGAAACCGGAGCACCCAGAGGAAAACTATGCAGACACGGGTAGAACATGCAAACTCTAATCAGAAAGGCTCTTCTTTCTGATAAGCGAGAGTGCCATCTTTGCTTCATCACCTGCTGCATGGATTCTCAAAAGTGTGTGATGTCACTGGTATAACAGGGATCATGTTCAAAGGGTCAAAAACTAAACCAAAGATGTTTTATGTTCGTGGCATCTTAGACTTCAGATTCCAGTTTCAGCGATGACGTCATGTTGTTGAGGGTTTGGGAGGTTCGGAAAAGTGCTCCCTGGTGCCATGACTCACACTGCTGTCATCCAAACAGGACTCAGATCCAGAGAAACTCACGCAGAGAGAGACCAGAGAGAGAGAGACCAAAGAGAGACCAAAGAGAGACCAGAGAGAGAACAGAGAGAGACCAAAGAGAGACCAAAGAGAGACCAAAGAGAGACCAGAGAGAGAGAGACCAGAGAGAGAGAGAGAGAGAGACCAAAGAGAGACCAGAGAAAGACCAGAGAGGGAGAGAGAGAGAGAGAGACCAGAGAGAGAGAGAGAGAGAGACCAGAGAGAGAGATAGAGAGAGACCAGAGAGACCAGAGAGAGAGAGAGAGAGAGAGAGAGACCAGAGAGAGACCAGAGAGAAACCAGAGAGAGACCAGCTCTGCTCTGGTTCAGAGTGAAATTCTGTATGCTTTATTAGCATAAAAAATAATAGATACAAAAAAATACATATTGATCTGTTTGGTTGGGACCATCCTCTGCTCTGGTCTGGATCACTGAAAAACCATGAACACTGAACTGCAGCAACAATTACAGATGAAAAATGGAAAGAAAAATAACAATTGTAAAAAAGAAACACAAAACAACAACTGTTTCAGAGCGACTTAGGACGTGGTGCACACTGCGGTAGACTTGCACAGTTCTTCCAATAAGGTTTTACTGCAAATGACAAATACATTCTTGAATCTTGAATCTTGCATCAGGCGGAAAAACGGGTCTCAGCAGTGGGATCCTATTGGCCGCAGCAGGAAAACCCAAACACTGAGACTGCCCCAGAGCACATGGTCCAGAGAACCAGAGTCCGTTATCAGCCTCTGGTCCCGGACGGAGGACGATCGTATCAGCGACGTGGACGCACGACAGCAGGAAGTGCAGGGGTCCCAGGTCAGCGGGACGAGGATGAGAGAGAGTGAGAGAGAGAGAGTCTAGTCTAGTCTAGTCTAGTCTAGTCTAGTCTAGTCTACTCTACTCTACTCTAGTCTAGTCTAGTCTAGTCTAGTCTAGTCTAGTCTAGTCTAGTCTACTCTACTCTACTCTACTCTAGTCTAGTCTAGTCTAGTCTAGTCTAGTCTAGTCTAGTCTAGTCTACTCTACTCTACTCTACTCTACTCTAGTCTAGTCTAGTCTAGTCTAGTCTACTCTACTCTACTCTACTCTACTCTAGTCTAGTCTAGTCTAGTCTAGTCTACTCTAGTCTACTCTACTCTACTCTACTCTACTCTACTCTAGTCTAGTCTAGTCTAGTCTAGTCTAGTCTACTCTACTCTACTCTACTCTACTCTACTCTACTCTACTCTACTCTACTCTACTCTACTCTACTCTAGTCTATCTATCTATCTACTCTACTCTACTCTACTCTACTCTACTCTACTCTACTCTACTCTAGTCTAGTCTAGTCTAGTCTAGTCTAGTCTAGTCTAGTCTACTCTACTCTACTCTACTCTACTCTACTCTACTCTACTCTACTCTACTCTACTCTACTCTAGTCTACTCTAGTCTAGTCTAGTCTAGTCTAGTCTAGTCTACTCTACTCTACTCTACTCTACTCTACTCTACTCTACTCTACTCTACTCTACTCTACTCTAGTCTACTCTAGTCTAGTCTAGTCTAGTCTAGTCTACTCTACTCTACTCTACTCCTACTCTACTCTACTCTACTCTACTCTACTCTACTCTACTCTACCCTACCCTACCCTACTCTACTCCTACTCTACTCTACTCTACTCTACCCTACTCTACCTCTACTCTACTCATACTCTACCCTACCCTACTCTACTCTACTCTACTCTACTCTACTCTACTCTACTCTACTCTAAACCCTACCCTAACTACGACTCTACTCTACTCTCTACTTCTACTCTACTCTACCCTACCCTACCTACTACTCTACTCTACTGTACTCTATTCTACCTACTCACCCTTACCTCTACTCTACTCTACTCTACTCTACTCTACTCTACCTCTACTTCTCTACTCTACTCTACTCTACTCTACTCTACTCCTACTCTACTCTACTCTACTCTACCTACCCCTTACTACTACTCTACCCTACTCTACTCTACTACCCCTACCCTACACTACTCTACTCTACTCTACTCTACCCTACCCTACTCTTACTCTACTCTACTCTACCCTACCCTACTCTACTCTACTTACTCTACTCTACTCTACCCTACTCTACTCTACTCCTACTCTACTCTACTACTTACTCTACCCTACTCTACTCTACCTACTTACTCTACTCTACTCTACTCTACTCTACTCTACCCTACTCTACCCTACTCTACTCTACTCTACCCTACTCTACTCTACTCTACTCTACTCTACTCTATTCTACCCTACTCTACTCTACTCTCTACTCTACTTTACTCTACTCTACTCTACTCTACTCTACTCTACTCTCTACTCTACTCTACTCTACTCTACTCTACTCTCTACTCTACTCTACTCTACTCTACTCTACTCTCCATTCTACTCTACTCTCTACTCTATTCTACTCTACTTTACACTGATCCACTCTATTCTACTCTACTCTACTCTAGTCTACTCTCTACTCTACTCTAGTCTAGTCTAGTCTACTCTACTCTACTCTCTACTCTATTCTACTCTACTTTACTCTGCTCTGCTTTACTCTACTCTACTCTACTCTCTACTCTACTCTAGTCTATTCTACTCTACTAATTCAAGTGTAAAGAGTAAAGACATCTGACTCAAACACAATCACAGTCAGAGAAACAAACATCTGGAACTACTGACACTAACACGCACTGTCTGTGGTACCAGGTGACAGTCCAACTACCAGCTGATACTCCATGGTACCAGCTAACCGTCCATGGTACCAACGCATAGTTCATGGTACAAACTGACAGTCAATGGTACCAGATGATTGTCTTTGGTAGTTTCAGTCCTGGAGACGTTTGATTCTGTTCTGGTCCTGTTCTGGTTCTGCTCTGGTCCTGTTCTGGTCCTGTTCTGGTCCTGTTCTGTCTTGTTCCTGTTCTGGTCCTGTTCTGGTCCTGTTCTGGTCCTGTTCTGGTCCTGTTCTGTCTGGGTTTAGTTGAGCCGGACCCTGGTGGAGAGAGCCGTTATCTGCCCCAAACAGACCTGTGTGTGTGAGTAAGAGGGGGAGGAGGATGGGGAGGAAAGGGTGAGGAGGATGGAAGAGGAGAGGGTGAGTGAGAGGGGGAGGGAGGATGGGGGAGGAGAGGGGGAGAGGATGGGTGAGGAGAGGGTGAGGAGAGGGGGAGGAGGATGGGGGAGGAGAGGGGGAGAAGGATGGAAGAGGAGAGGGTGAGGAGAGGGGGAGGAGGATGGGGGGGAGAGGGGGGAGAAGGAGAAGAGGATGGAAGAGGAGAGGGTGGAGGAGAGGGGGAGAAGGATGGGTGAGGAGAGGGGAGGAGGATGGGGGAGGAGAGGGGGAGATGATGGGTGAGGAGAGGGGGAGGAGGATGGGTGACGGAGAGGGGGAGGAGGATGGGGGAGGAGAGGGGGAGAAGGATGGGTGAGGAGAGGGGGAGAGGATGGGTGAGGAGAGGGGGGAGGAGGATGGGTGAGGAGAGGGGGAGATGATGGTTGCCATGAGGTGAGGGGGAGAGGATGGGTGAGGAGAGGGGGAGGAGGATGGGGGAGGAGAGGGGGAGATGATGGGTGAGGAGAGGGGGAGAAGGATGGGTGAGGAGAGGGGGAGATGATGGGTGAGGTGAGGGGGAGAGGATGGGGTGAGGAGAGGGGGAGGAGGGATGGGGGAGGTGAGGGGGGAGAGGCTGGGTGAGGAGAGGGGGGGACGAGGATGGGGTTTATCGGCCTCATGCAGATCCATGTTTCCAGGTTGAGATTCTCTTCTGTCGTTTTTCCAGAAAAATGTGTTTCTTTGTCTTTGAACAGCTGCAAGTGCGGTTCTCACCTTCACTCTGCCTCACACTGACACCAGAGGGGGAGAGGGGGTGAGAGGGGGAGAGGGGGGCGAGGGGGTGAGGGAGAGGGAGGACCGGAGAGAAGAGAGAGAGAAAAAAGAGGAGAGAGAGGAAAGAGGAGAGAAGAATGGAAGATGGGAAAGAGGTGAAAGAGAAGAAGAGAGAGAGAGGATGAGAGAGGAGAGAGAGGAGAGAGGAGAGAGAGGAGAGGGAGAGAGAGAGGAGAGAGAGGAGAGAGAGGAGAGAGAGGAGAGAGAGGAGAGGAGAGAGAGGAGAGAGAGGAGAGGAGAGAGAGAGGAGAGAGAGAGGAGAGGACGTGAGAGGAGAGAGGAGAGAGGAGGAGAGAGAGAGAGAGGAGGAGAGAGAGGAGGAGAGAGAGGAGAGGAGAGAGAGAGGAGAGAGAGGAGAGAGAGGAGAGAGAGAGAGGAGAAGAGAGGAGAGGAGAGAGGAGGAGAGAGAGGAGAGAGAGGAGAGAGAGGAGAGGAGAGAGAGAGGAGGAGAGGAGAGAGAGGAGAGAGAGGAGAGGAGAGAGAGAGGAGAGAGAGGAGAGGAGAGAGAGAGGAGAGAGTGAGAGGATGAGAGAGAGAGAGAGAGATGAGAGAGAGGAGAGGAGAGGAGAGAGGAGAGAGAGAGAGGAGACGAGGAGAGAGAGAAGGAGAGAGAGGAGAGAGAGGAGAGAGAGGAGAGAGAGGAGAGGAGAGAGAGAGAGGAGAGAGAGAGGAGAGAGAGGAGAGAGAGGAGAGAGAGGAGAGGAGAGAGAGAGGAGAGAGAAGAGAGGAGAGAGAGAGAGGAAAGAGAAGGGTTAAAGGAGGGATAAGAAGGGGGGAGGAGAAGGGGGAGAGGGGGAGGACATGAAAAATGAACACGTGCTAATATTAGCCACAGCTCACACTCAGAGCCTGGAGAGGATTTAAAGGAGACGTCTGAAGTCGTCTCGTTCACCAAATAACTATAACATTTGTGCTGCTAAAATAAAACAAATTAGCGAAACTTTGTCCATGAGCACTTCACTGTTGAGCTGTTAGCATTGTTCATCTGCACACAGTCTGATTTAAAGATACATACACTGTGTCTGTGTCGTCTGCAGTAGTTTTGTCAGAGTCAGTAAGAGCTGCACGGGAAACGTAGCGCCCCCTGCAGGTGAAGCCACATCCTGTTCGACCTCTGAAGCTAAGCAGGGCTGGGCCGGGTTAGTACTGTGATGGGAGACCTCTGGAAACACCCGGTGCCACAGTGGGGCGGCTGCGGCTGTGTCCTTTGGCAAGACACTTCAGAGACCATGCATGTGGACAAACACATCTGAGACAGAGACCATGTGGACCAACACATCTGAGACAGAGACCATGTGGACCAACACATCTGACACAGAGACCATGGGGACCAACACATCTGACACAGAGACCATGTGGACCAACACATCTGAGACAGAGACCATGTGGACCAACACATCTGACACAGAGACCATGTGGACCAACACATCTGAGACAGAGACCATGTGGACCAACACATCTGACACAGAGACCATGGGGACCAACACATCTGAGACAGAGACCATGTGGACCAACACATCTGAGACAGAGACCATGTGGACCAACACATCTGACACAGAGACCATGTGGACCAACACATCTGAGACAGAGACCATGTGGACCAACACATCTGACACAGAGACCATGTGGACCAACACATCTGAGATAGAGACCATGTGGACCAACACATCTGAGACAGAGACCATGTGGACCAACACATCTGAGATAGAGACCATGTGGACAAACACAGCTGACACAGAAACCATGTGGACCAACACATCTGACACAGAGACCATGTGGACAAACACATCTGACACAGAGACCATGTGGACCAACACATCTGACACAGAGACCATGTGGACAAACACATCTAACACAGGGACCATGTGGACAAACACATCTGACACAGAGACCATGTGGACAAACACATCTAACACAGGGACCATGTGGAAAAACACATACATCTGACTCAGAGACCATGTGGACGAACACATCTGACACAGAGACCATGTGGGCAAACTCATCTGACACAGAGACCATGTGGACCAACACATCTGATACAGACACCATGTGGACAAACACACATGACTCAGAGACCATGTGTACCCCACATCTGACACAGAAACCATGTGGACCAACACATCTGACACAGAGATTATGTGGACAAACGCATCTGACACAGACACCATGTGGACCAACACATCTGACACAGAGACCATGTGGACAAACACATCTGACACAGACACCATGTGGACCAACACATCTGACACAGAGACCATGTGGACAAACACATCTGAGACAGACACCATGTGGACAAACACATCTGACACAGAGACCATGTGGACCCCACACATCTGAGATAGAGACCATGTGGACAACACATACAGCTGACACAGAGACCAGGGGGACAAACACATCTGAGACAGAGACCATGTGGACCAACACATCTGACACAGAGACCATGTGGACAAACACAGCTGACACAGAAACCATGTGGACCAACACATCTGACACAGAGACCATGTGGACAAACACATCTGACACAGAGACCATGTGGACCAACACATCTGACACAGAGACCATGTGGACAAACACATCTAACACAGGGACCATGTGGACAAACACATCTGACACAGAGACCATGTGGACCAACACATCTGACACAGAGACCATGTGGACAAACACATCTAACACAGGGACCATGTGGAAAAACACATACATCTGACTCAGAGACCATGTGGACGAACACATCTGACACAGAGACCATGTGGGCAAACTCATCTGACACAGAGACCATGTGGACCAACACATCTGATACAGACACCATGTGGACAAACACACTTGACTCAGAGACCATGTGTACCCACACATCTGACACAGAAACCATGTGGATCAACACATCTGACACAGAGATTATTTGGACAAACGCATCTGACACAGAGACCATGTGGACAAACACATCTGACACAGACACCATGTGGACAAACGCATCTGACACAGAGACCATGTGGACCCACACATCTGACACAGAGACCATGTGAACAAACTCACCTGACACAGAGACCATGTGGACAAACACATACAGCTGACACAGAGACCATGTGGACGAACACATACAGTACAGTTGACACAGACCATGTTGACGAACACATACAGCTGACAAAGACCATGTGGACGAACATGTACAGCTGACACAGAGACCATGTGGACAAACACATCTGACACAGACACCAGGTGGACAAACACATCTGACTCAGAGACCATGTGTACAAACACCTATGGTATACCAAAGTCCTTCCTCCTAAACCTAACCAGCAGAGTCCACAGTCTCTGCTGCGCCTCCTCTCCCTCTGCGTCTCCCTCGGGCCTTAAACCCACTCTGCGCGCTCCCCCTTTGTGACAGGGGGAGAAAAAAAGAGCGTTTCTATGGCAACGTCTCCTCCCCGCGCTCTGGCGATGACGTCGTCGCTTCCTGACATGGACAAATGCACCGCGGCTTTCATCCAGCAGAACTATTTTTAGGATCGCAAATAGAATTCTCAATCTTCTACAGTGATGTATGTGTAAGTCTGACAGACCAGGACAGGAAGAAGCGAGAGAGACAGGGCGGCTGCCACTGGGTCCAGACCAGGAACAAGGTTTCTCTGGTCTCTCTCTGACCTTTGTCTCTGGTCTCTCTGATATTTCTGATCTCTCTCTCTGTTTTTTCTCGATGGTCTCTCTATTGTCCTTCTCTGGTGTCTCTTGTCTCTCTCTTCTCTCTCTCTCTGTTCTCTCTCTGTTCTCTCTCTTGTCTCTCTCTTGTCTCTCTGGCCTCTCTCTTGTCTCTCTCTCTAGTCTGCTCTTGTCTCTCTCTCTAGTCTGCCCTTGTCTCTCTCTCTCTGGTCTCTCTTCTCTCTCTGGTCTCTCTCTTGTCTCTCTCTTGTCTCTCTCTCTGGTCCCTCTCTTGTCTCTCTCTCTTCTCTCTCTGGTCTCTCTCTTGTCTCTCTCTCTGGTCTCTCTCTGGTCTCTCTCTTGTCTCTCTCTGGTCTCTCTCTGGTCTCTCACTTGTCTGTCTCTGGTCTCTCTCTGGTCTCTCGCTTGTCTCTCTCTGGTCTCTTTCTTGTCTCTCTCTCTCTCTGGTCTCTCTCTTGTCTCTCTTGTCTCTCAGGCCTCTAACTGGTCCTCCCTGACATCCTTCTGGTCTCTCTCTTGTCTCTCTGGTCTCTCTCCTTCTGGTCTGTCTCCTTCTGGTCTCTCTCTGGCCTCTCTCTTGCCTCTCTGGCCTCTCACTGGTCCTCCCTGGTCTCTTTCTGGTCTCTCTCACTGGTCCCTGTGATGTCACACTCACCCTCACTCCTGTGTTTCCAGGTCGACTCAGATTAAGACGTACTCGTGGGACAACGCACAGGTCGTTCTGGCGGCGAACAAGTGCGACATGGACGAGGAGCGCGTGGTCTCAGTGGACAGTGGCAGGCTTCTGGCAGAACAGCTCGGTAAGGAACAGTCCGGCACAGTCCGGCCAAGTACGGCTCAGTCTGGCACAGTCCGGCTCAGTCTGGCACAGTCCGGCAGAGTCTGGCAGATTCTGGCACAGTCCGGCAGAGTCCGGCAGGGCCAGGGCTGATGTAGGGTTTGTGTTGGATTAATTCACTCACAGAATTTACATGATCATCAGATATTTCTCCTCATTATTTTTGCCACTGAGGATCATAAAAGTAATATTGTACAGTTCATAGTGAAGGGTTCATGTTAATATGGGTTAACACAGACTCAGGTCACTCTCTCTCTCTCTGGTCTCTCTCGTCTCCCTCTGGTCTGTCTCTCTCGTTCGACTCTTGTGTCTCTCTCTGGTCTCTCTCTGGCCTCTCTCTCTGGTCTCTCCCTCTGATCTCTCTCTGGTCTCTGTCTCTGGTCTCTCTCTGGTCTCTCTCTGGTCTCTCCCTCTGATCTCTCTCTGGTCTCTCTCTGGTCTCTCCCTCTGGTCTCTCTCTGGTCTCTCCCTCTGATCTCTCTCTGGTCTCTGTCTCTGGTCTTTCTCTCTCTCTCTGGTCCCTCCCTCTGATCTCTCTCTGGCCTCTCTCTCTAGTCTCTCTCTCTCTGGTCTCTCTCTCTGGTCTCTCTCTGATCTCTCTCTGGCCTCTCTCTCTGGTCTCTCTCTCTGGTCTCTCTCACTGGTCTTTGTCAGAGAGAGTGCAAACCTGATAGTTCAGTCCGGAGGGTCAGCCAGGACACAGTGGTGGAAAATCCATTCCTACATTATCATCAGATAACTAAAGCATTCTGGGTAGTGTAGTTTTAGGACAAACATCTCACAGTTAAACCATATTTTTCATAAAACTAGATGTTATTATTATAATTATTTGACTTTCTTTCACACACATGGTCCATAGACATGTGACAAAGACAGAGAACCCAGAAGAATCTGATCTGGAACATGCTTTTCTCCCAGACGTCTGACTTTGTGGTCGCTGTACAGGGGGTACAGGGGTTTCACATGGTCCCAGAGATAAAGACTTTTCCCAAAATCCAAAATATATTGCCCACCTCCAAACTCTATGGACCTTGGATCATACATAAGGTACATAACGCAAAGTGCTAAATACAACAAGAAATGGAAATGTTGCAATAATAAATAATCACAGTACATTTAAAAGAGTGACGATAAAATCCCTCAGTTGTATCCACAGCGAAACTATTTGTAGCCTGTCAGAGAAGAAGCCTGTCTCACATCTTCAGGAAGACTGTCCCACATTTTAGCTGCTTTAATCCATGCATCCATGCCTTCCTTTGTTTAGTCTTGACTCTGGGCACCAGCAGGAGGCCAGTCCCTGTGCTCCTCAGAGTCCCAGCAGGAGGCCCGTCCCTGTGCTCCTCAGAGTCCCGGCAGGAGGCCAGTCCCTGTGCTCCTCAGAGTCCCAGCCGGAGGCCCGTCCCTGTGCTCCTCAGAGTCCCAGCAGGAGGCCAGTCCCTGTGCTCCTCTCTCCCAGCAGGAGGCCCGTCCCTGTGCTCACCTCTGCTTTCTCTCTCCAGGTTTTGAGTTCTTCGAGACGAGCGCCAAAGACAACATCAACGTGAAGCAGACGTTCGAGCGCCTGGTGGACCTGATCTGTGACAAGATGTCGGAGAGCTTGGACAGTGATCCCGCCGTGACCTCCGGAGCTCCCACGGCCAAACTGACCGACAGCGCCCCCCCTCTGCAGCAGCAGGGGTGCAACTGTTAGCGCTCACGTCAGCATTAGCCACGTGCTAGCTGCTCTGGACACTGCACCCTCTTTCAGTAGTGATCTAAGACGATACTCACCCATAGACGACCGAGCATCAATAGAAACATGTCAGACACTTTTCACAGTACAGTTGTAACGCTGCAAAACCTGAATCATGAGCGGTTATGTGTCTTGGATTCTGCATCACGGCTTTAATTTGGGTATACAGTATATGTATGAAGGGAGAATGCACAGATCTGTTGTAGTCCCAGGACAAAGATCTCGCAGGTAAACCCAATTTTTCCAAAACTAGACTGATCTAAAACTTGACTTTGAGATTGCTTTGTAATGTATTTATTTTGGTATAGCCCTAAATCACAACAGCAGTCGCCTTGGAGCTTGGAGGACTTTACAAAGTTGTGGATTCACCAATAACTACATTGGTCCATAGGCAGCGTGTTGATAGAAAAATAGTTTTCAGTATCCAGTCTTGTTCGTGCTGAATTGTATCAATATTGTTTGCATAGTATGACCTAGCATAGGTTTAATAGAGAGGTCTTTGCTCAGGTGGAAGAGTTTAAGTGTCTCAGGTCTTGTTCTTAGTGAGGTTTGGATGGAGCGTTGGCTGTCAGTGCTGTATCGGACTGTCGTAGGCTGAACGTCTGTAGTCAGAGCTCTCGATTTCTGCTCAGTCTACGTCCCCTCTCTGGTCATGATCTTTGGACAATCTTTTGACCGAATGGACGAGATCGCGGATAGAAGTGGATGATGAGTCTCCCTGGTGTCTCTCTCTCTGTTCTCTCTCTGGTCTCTCTTTGGTCACTCTCAGGTCTCTCTGTGGTCTCTCCCTTGTCTCACTCTCTCCAGTATCTCTCTCTGGTCTCTCTCTCTGATCCATGGTCTCTCTGCTCTCGCTCACTCTAGCTTCTCTCTGTAGTCTTTCTCAGGCGTCACTACGGTCTCTCGCTGACCTTTATCTGGTCTCTCTCCCTCGTCTCTCTCTGGTCCCTCCCTTAGAGATAGGGTGAGGAGCTCAGTCAGATAAAGCAGTAGAAAACAGATGGATGGGGGTTTTATGGCTCCATTGATCCGACTAAGCTTTTCAGCTCGATGCAGAATCCAAAACCTTGCGATTCATCTTTTGCAGTGTGCCGTCATTGATAAAACTGAGACTAGCGGATAGATTAATGCTGTACAGTCAACCCTAAGAACCTTTAATCTCGATGTCCTGAAGTAATATAAGGAATAGTGTGTTAGCTTTGAGATATTTCCTCTTTTTATTTTTGTACAGTGGACTTTTCTAGGTTTGGTTTCGTCTCCACAAGCTGCCAGAACCCACCACCTACCTATAGTGTTTAAGATGTAGCAGCTTCCCCAACGCATCGTGTGCTTGTCGACGTCCGTGTAGGCTGTTAGTGAGTGAGTGAGTCCCAAAACAAATCATTTCAGAGAAGAGTTCAGACGGGCTGCACGATTATCCGCAAATTTGGTCTTCCGACGGATTCTACAAGCTGATTCTTTGGTGGTTTATTTGTACCTCTACAGTTCTCAGAGTGTGTTTGCTTGACGTTGGAAGGGCCATGAGGAAACACAAAACTAACACCTCAGTTAAAACATATGAAATCTAAATAAAACGTCCACCCAAAACATATAGATGAATCACTGAATATATGTACAAATTACCATGTCATTGGCAATCGACATACATTGGGGAAACTTTTAGTTCACAAAAAAGTAAAACAGAAAATGAGAGAAAAGCGTGCACACAAGTAACAAAACACAACGCAGAACAAGAGAAACTCAAATCAGAAATATCTGTAAAAGTGAGACCCACATTATAGACTGTGCCATCGCTGACCACTCTATAAATACCATAGGGACTAAGGACAACAAACACCACGCCTGGATCAAAGAGGACTATAAACCGGGACAAGAGGGCTGTGCTACTCTCACACACCTGGGATTCTGTCCTGAGCAAGTCGGACAGTCAAGTCCAAAATGAGAGGTGCGAAGAAACCTCTTTGGAGTTAACTTGTAGTAGATAAGGTAATCCAAATTTGGCAAGATGGAGAAAACAAGTTCAACCAAATGGACTTTATAAGAGAAAATGTTAAAAACTGTCTAAGAGAGAGGATTGGAGATGGAAACCCTTTAGACAAACTTTCCTGATGCTATCGAGCTTTTAGCAACTTAAAAATGATCGTTTTGCATCATGTCTCATTTCATTACGGCTTTAGCTTTGTTTCCATAGCTACATTTATTCTAAACTGTCAAAATGTACGACCGTCAGATAATGTTAGTGTTCGCGAGTTAAAATGTCTTCAAACAGATGGAAAGTAGCAGGAGACAAAACTTTCTTCTTTTCTCAAGTCTATTGTTTTTGTACATTGTCCCTGTTCAATAGACTAAATATAGCATATAGCATAAACTGAAGTTAGCCACATTGGCAAGAATAAGAACAACTTTGAACTTGGACGTAGAGTGGTGTAGAGTAGGGTTGGGCCAATTACGGTGGAAACATTGCTAAAATCTTGTCCAAAAGATTTAAATCCAATCCAATTAAAATACTTTATATTTTGCCGAAATCGCGCAGCCCTGGAGTTCAGCCATTGAAAATATTCTACCTTGGATTAAGTGGCCTTTGCTCATCGTGTCCCGGCCCTTGTGCTCCTCCGCTCGAGTCTCAGTCCTGGTTCAATCCAGGGTCGTGTTAATGTGGTTTGAATCAGAGCTTTGGGAGAGAATCGCATGCTGCCACAAAAAGCCAACCACCCGTGCTGTGATCCACGAGCCTTAGCCGTGGACTTAGCCGCTCAAAGCCATATCCGAGAAGCTCCCTAGCGTTCCCCTAGCATTTCCCTAGCATGCTAACGTTTATGTTGTCGTGGAATCAAGGAATCTGTGTTGATGACATGGTCACAAAGGCTCAGGAGGGAATGGAGTAAATATGGTTGAATTTGAGAATGTGTTTTGTTTTGCACAACACAAGGCCTGGTCAATCTCTGTCGTGTCTACAACAAAGTCACTGACCTCGTGGCAAAGTGAGGGGCTTGTTGATTCGCCAACAAATGATCAGAGAATCAACAAGAAATGCAATGATGGCAAACACATAGGATAAATTGGTCAATAGGGAGCGGAATGACTGCTGTCCAGAAATGTTCAGAAATTTCCTAGATCATCGCTGTCCTTAGACCCTCCGGCAACAACAAGGACTAGGGCTGTGGACTCAGGGCTGAGGCTGTAGATCCAGGACTGAGGCTGTAGACCCAGGACTGAGGCTGTAGACCCAGGACTGAGGCTGTAGACCCAGGACTGAGGCTGTAGGTCCAGGACTAAGACTGTAGATCAACTGGTGAAACTTAAGTAAGAGTGCTAATGTGAGCCGTGTCCCAGAAGAAACCCAATAGAGCTAACTCAAACAACCTCCATGTAGTTGAAATCTGGAGCCCAATTGTTGAATAAGCAAGACTATTAACGTTTTTGTGATCGGCAAGCCGAGGAAAAACCTCTGGGAAATGTGGCTCTTGATTGGTCATTTGTTGGATTTACTAAGACAACAATACAATATAAACACCAGGATCACAGAAGGCGCTAAACCGCATTTTTTTAAGCCCAAAATGGTGAGTGTAGCACGTTCGCATACAGTCTACATACAGCCTATGCCACGTCTTGCTGCGTGTTCAGTAAATTTGGTTGAAATGTTTCCGTTGGTGATGTCAGTGGGCTTCGTTACACGCCAGATCCCCGGAGAGGCGAGCCCACGGCCAGTTTTAGTCTATAGCTACAGCACATGACAGAGATACTCGAAGCAGACTGGGATAGTCACAAATGTAGAAGTTAATGGGTCAAAATATCAATAATATGGAAGAAAAGTCTGACATCATGGTGCGTTGGAATTCCCTCTGACCTTTGTTGACCTAAACTCGTAACTAACCCTCTTCTAGACCAATCTATCCTTCAAAAACCTATTCTTTCCTCCATGGAAAATAAAAGTGGTGCCAAACATGTCTCTTCTCCTTCCACAGCGTTGTCCGTGGCATAGTTTATGACTAAGAAAAATAAAAGCATGAGTAAACCCATTCTAATGTAGATTCTATCCAAATAATGTACATATATATACATCTATGTAGAAACATTTAGCAGCATTCTCTCGGCGCTCGCTGGGAGATGCAAAGGGCCAACAAGTGCAATATTTTATGAATGAAGTTCCGTTGTAAATAGACTTGCCTGGGTTGGAATGGAGCGGCCTCAAGCGCTGAGTGTGAGTGCAGAAATACAAGTGAAATAATTGGTGTTTTGTACAATGTATCGGCGTGCTATGACCCCCGACCCCTCCCCTCGCTCCCCGTCGCTGATGAACCATTTCAGTGTTGTGTGGGTGACTGTCCCATAGAAAAGAGCTTTGAACACCATGTGTGTGTGTGTGTGCTGAATGACCATGTGACATCACACACCAGTGTACCACGTTTGTTTTGAAATGATAATGAAGAATAAAGAGTTATCTGGGAGACGTGGTGTTGTGTGGTGTGTTCAGACGGACATTTAGGCCTTTGATGTTAGCCAGCTTTATTTGTATGGCACACTTCATAAGATCCTAGATGTTTAGTCATCACAGAACATTCAAAACATAAATGACTATAAATGGACATTGTGAGTGACTGCACCATAAACAAAAGATACACAACAGTAAAAAGATCAAACACATCCCAAACATAAAGTTATTACACTGTTACACCTTATTACACCCTTATTCATGTTAGTATTTCATGTTTATTCATCCATCCATTTTCTTCCGCTTCATCCGTTGCCGAGTCGCGGGGGCAGCAGTCTAAGCAGAGACGCCCAGACTTCCCTATCCACACACACTTCCTCCAGCTCGTCCGGGGGGACCCCAAGGCGTTCCCAGGCCAGCTGAGAGACATAGTCCCTCCAGCGTGTCCTGGGTCTTCCCCGGGGCCTCCTCCCGGTGGGACGTGCCCGGAACACCTCCCCAGGGAGGCGTCCAGGAGGCATCCGGA